TGCTTGGCTCAAAAGAAGATAGCCTTGATAGAAACCTCCTAATTGCCTCTGCTGTAGGTTTAGGGCTTGCAGATTGTTAGAGCAGGAATGCCCAGTGAAGTTCTGCTGCACTTTATAACTTTTGATTTTCTCAGAGTTTCCAAGGATTTAGTTGTATTTATCAGCATACCAACTTAAGACAGCTGCTCTCTTTCTGCTAAAAAAAAACTAAACTTGTTTTCCACCTCATCTTGCAGCTTATCTAATTAATGCCCTCCCTGCCTGGTTCTTCTGTTTGGATTTACAGCCATGTTTTGGTGGTTTAATTTTGTGTCATGCTCTCTTCACTTTTGGGGTAATGGGTGGGGTGGTGCCCCCCCTGTGATGTTAAAACCTGGATAAAAATGTAACAAAACAAAAAAAGAAAGAAAATTGTGGCCCAGCTAGACTCCAGATTTGAAGCTGATCCTGAATCTGTAGGGAGAGCTAATGATTAGGGTGATGGCAAGGAGGCCTTCTGAAATCAAAATGTTAAGCCTGTCACCACTGATAAACATCAGAAGGGTTTTATTATTGTAATACTGATAATGAATTTTCCATTGATTTTTGAGAATGTTATAAAGAATTTCTGACATTGTAATGAATTTTAGATACAAAAACATGGCCGCATGTTTTTATTACTACTTTTAAAATGCTTCAATGATTCCTTGCTCAATTTCTATTAGAAGCAGACTTCTTGATTGCATGAAAATTATTTCAAACCTAAATCGAGCAGCTGTATGGATAAATTTGGGCTTTAGTATACCTTTAGTATACATTCCTTAGTTTAAACTTTCTCTGCAACTTAATCCTTGAGGTTTTGTTGTATTACCTGGTCATCGTGACGCTGCTTTTTAGGATATAGCAGGAAATTTGCGATGATACATTAAGTTAGGTGGATAAGGAATGCATGGATTTTATTTTTATTTGTTCATAAAAATATTTGGAAACCATTTATCCTTTCCATTTTTATTAACAATCCTGTGTTAGTCTTACAAAAAATACCTACCACAAAGCAGTGCAGTTTTTGGTTATAACATGACAAAACATGGAGCCGTTTATGAGAAATCAATACATAATAACAATGAAAAGGCTGAGCTGCAGAGAAAGTTACCCGGAGATCTCAAACAGTTGCCTTGCTTACAGGTATAAGAAATATGTTCCTTCTTTCTAACAATATTTAGACATTATCCCTTTAGGGGTGATCTGAATGTTTAAAAAAACCTGTGAAACTAGATTACACTACTGAAGCACTGTATCCAGAGCTGCAGCCTGAGGCTCTCTTGTCACACTCTGAGACATGAAGTCTTTTGACTCCACTTTGTTCTGACCCACTCGTATTACACCCTCAAAATATAAGGCTGCCGTTCCTGCTGCTTCCAAATCCATCAAAGCAGCCAAACCACTTTCTCTGATTCTCCATACTGTATGAGTCTGCATAAAATGAGAAGCAATTCCTTGAATTCTGACTTTAAAGTCCTGTTACCTGACAGCATTGAGATTGAGGTAGGAAAAAAAATGTTTTTTTTTCTTATTGAATTGGACTGTGCATGTTTATAGTTATTGTGGGTGGGCTGGTGAACAGTTCGTGTCACAAGCTGAAGCATAAATAACCAACTGAAGGCGGTGCAAACTGGTGACTTAAACAGTGAAAAGTTTAAGGGAGGGTAGTTTGGTGAAGAAAAATCTAAACAAGTGCAATAAAATCAGTGGCAACTTATTTGCTAATTAAATAGGTTTATAGGGGGGATGTTTTCAATCATTGTTCTGTAAACAGTCCTCTGTAAAAGTTTTCTTGTGCCTTTTAGAATCCATCTTTTGAAGATTGTAATTTTACACATTTTTCTTCTGTAATTTTTTAGTGCCCATTTCTACTTGCTCTTGTCAAAGCAGATAAAATCTCTTGACTGGGCCAGAGATCATTCCTTGATCTTTCAGTGCAGCTAAGCCTTACTGTCTGGAGTCGTCGTTCTTATCTGTTTAGATTGCCGGCTCCCTTTTCATTCTGTCACTAATTTATTCAGTGCATCAAGAAAGGGCTGCAACATTCCCTTATTCAATGAGTGTCCACATTAAGCAAGCTTTGGATCCAGACGTTTGAGCAGATGTTCCCATCTTTCAATAAAGTGTTTTGTTTTCTTTTCAAACCAAACTGCTTTACATTACAGTATGCCTTAAATTATCTCACCATTGTGTGGGCTCTCACACATTGTTTTGCCTGTCAGGGTTTATGACTCCCAGCTTATGTAGAAATATATTCATTGTGAATATTGAAATTACAAAAGCAATAACCATTTCCATTTGCTTTTCTTACATCCCATCCCACACAATGTTTACTTCTGCTGCTTTTAAGATATAGCTTTGCCATACAGTGTTGGAGTTTGTCTCCCAAGAGCGGAGTTTGAAAGGTTTTAGGGTTGAAAACCAAAACAATTTTCCTAAAGAAATACATCCTTTTATTAAAACAGAGTTGATTGTTTGTGCTTAGTGTTTGCAAAGTTATTGTTCCATCCTGTATTTTGGCACAAGAGCTTTTTTTGCACAGCTCTGTAATGAATGCTTTGCAAAAATATGAACAGGAATACTCTTCTGCTGTTACTGTTATTTCCCTGAGGCTTAGACAAACTCCTGCAGAGTAAAATGGAATAAAAAAACATAGTGGTCTGACTAACTTCCAGGGGTTCTCAATAATTGCATGTACAATATTGGCAGACTTGAACCTTAAACACAAACAAAACTCAAAATTTCAAACCAGTCACGTTAATCCTTGAATAAGACCTTACAGTATATATTATTCTGTTTTTTTTTTCATTGTCAGATTCTTGTTTTATTCTTCAGTCCCACAAATTGACATGAACATGATGAGTCACATTCTCACTTTGAAGATGGGAAGTTATTAATTAACAAAGGCAGAGTTGAATAAATCAGAGGCCATCTTCACAATCTGAGCTGACTAGTAAAACTGTTTGCCTCCTCAATGGTGAAAAATGCAGAGTTATAATATGGACCCAATATCAAAAAGCTCAGTAAGTGCTGGTGTCTCAACATGGGAGAAGTACACCTACCTCCAAATTGGGCAGAGTCTGGATGCTGGTTGTCAAGGGGCAATTTTGAGTCATCCAGGCTGCAAACCCAAAATGTGTCTTATGTCCTTTGAAAGGAAAGTTCGGCTTATATTTTAAAAATGATGTTAAGAAGTAAAAAGACTTAGACAAAATTTATTGTAATTTTGTATACACCGAGTGTATACAAAATTAAATTACTTTGCTTACAACTCATAACAGTGAAATTAACATTACCATTTAAAGTTCAGCAGTGATCATCATGTAAACACTATAGGAAAAACGAAATCCAGTTTAAATAATAATGGTGCAAAAGGGCATTAATATGGAAAGGTTCAATGCAGTGCAAAATAAATATGTTGCAAAATGCAGTACAAAAATTGAGTTGTGTCTTTTTTAAAAGGATTGTAAAAGTTTCTGCCACATCAGTTGTGCAAAATAATGTGATGCAGTCACAGTCCAGTTTAGAGTTTAGCTCTTCAAAAGAGCGAGGACTAAAATAAATCTAAATTTTTGGGGCTTTATAATCATAAAAATCAACTAATCAAAAGCAAAGATTCACTTACATTTATTACACAAAAACATTTCTCCAGACTGTACTATTAAATATGTAAACGGAGCTTTGGGCCAGGTTAAAATACATTATATTACTTTACAATCTCCACAGAAACTCTTCATCACTGCATGCACCGTATTATTGATAAGTCCTGAAAGGTTGAGTTTTTTCTTCCACAGCAAGGCTGAAACTGATAGTGCAGGTGCAGAGATCTCCTATTAAACAAACAAACTGGAACCCTATGTTATCATTGGTAATGTATTGCAGTGATGTTTTTTTCAAATTTCCTGCCCCACTATCCAGCAATGTTTGATCTAGTTGTAAGCTGGTATAAAGCGGAACTAAACCCTCTGCATATCTACAGAGGCAGAATCTGAGAGATGAAACCAAACAGTTCATAGTCCTTGCAGCATTTTGCCTTCTAAGCATTTTTATTGCCATGCTGCGGACGCTCAGGCACATTAACAGGCCATAACACACAGCCACATTTTTTCTCCGTGTTGTAATCAGACCCTTGAGTGAGGTCCTTGTTAGCTGATGCACAATAAGCTCCAGTCTAATGAAGTGTAAACCAGATAGGAGGGAACTCTAAGCGGGGGTTTAGATGAATATGACCGGCAGCCTTGCAGAGCAGAGGAGAACTCAATGCTAATTCTGTTAGCCAGGAGGTCATTCCATCCCGTCTCACTCCTGCTCAGTTTATCAGCACTTCATAATGTGAAGGATGTAAGGCCAGAGTGTTAAAAGTGAGGATCACCCTTAAGTGCGATAACTCCTGGAGCATGAATAAAGTGAGAAGTGGGTTCAAAATGAGTGCCCTGTTGGATTTCTGCATTACTAGAGTTATCACAGACCTGCCCTCCTTACAGCCTCCCGCTGTGTGACAGCTTATCCTCTGTGTGGAAAACTTCCTCCTTTCCTTGCTGTTCTTTCACAGTCTAATTGTACCCTCTGCCTGAAGAAGTCTCTCTGCTGCTCGCGCATTCAGCTCATCCTATTATTGCTGATGAGTATTTCATGTGCAGGTGGTCAGCTTTTTAACTGAATTTACACTTATAATTTAACCAGAACTACAGAATGGATTGTAATTTGGAGTTTGATTTTCCTGAAAAAAGTGTATATTCATGGTTCTTCAATTGCAGCAGGTTATTGGAAGACAGCATCCATATCCAACCATTGCATATGTGAAATTGTTTGCATCCATTATGATGCATATATAATGCATTACCCTCTTTTAATCCAGAAAAGGTGCTATCATGCCTTGATAGCTCTTTTCAGATTGTCATTTGAAATGAACCTGATGTGTTTGCTTGCACAATTGTGCACAAACACACAAATTAACCCTTCCCATGTTTCTCTTTTAGCCAACGCTGGGGCCTGTTATCCTAAGCAAGGTAACTCACCGGCGAATGGCTTCCTGCTCTTTTGTCCCATCCTCAGTTCATTGTTAGTCCAATCACATATTTTATGCGTAACCATCTCCTTCCGCCCGTCTTTGTTCTCTTCCTGTCTGCCTTCCACCTTTGGCTGTATAGTCTGTCAGATGGAGCCCTGATAAAAAGACCATGTGCTGACAGAGGGATGGGAGTCCTTAAAATGGACAGAAGGAACAGAGAGATAGCGAGAACATGTAAAGAAAGTGTCAGTGGGTGACAAGTGATGGATGGAATGACGGGCAGAAGTTGGTGAGGAACGTTAGACAGAGTAATGATAGAAATGATGTATCTGTTCCTGCGCGTTCCCACCTGACTTTCAATCAATTTAATATCAGAAAATGTCTCTTTGCCTGTTTCCTAAGTAAAAAATGAAAGCTACTTAAATACAAACAGGCATATCAGAACCGAATAACCTCCAAAACAGATCAGTTGGACTCCTTGCCTTTGATCTATTGCAAAAGCACTTCACTTTTCTCATTTTTCTTCCCCCTTAGAACTTGAAATCAACAATTCTGCAAGGAATTGCTCTGTCCTGGTGGCAAATTGGTGAACATCCCATCACATTTCTCTCTCTTTTTCTCTCTCCTGTCCCCCTGTGCCGTTTTCAACTCTGCTTCCCTCTGCTTCTCTTGTGTTACCTATATGTGCCTGCTCTGTGTATGTATTTCCCCACCCTAAATTATTTCCTGATGCGGACTTTGGTGGCAATTTTCTTCCTTTCCTTACATACACCCTCCTTCCTCCTCTCTCTTACCTTCTCTTCCCTTTTTTATCCCTTTTTCCTTCCTGCATCCTAATCACTTAGATCCTGAGCGTGGCGGCAGTCACTTGATCTCCACAGATGACTTGGAGTATCCACGAGAGTACAGGACGCTGGGGAACAGTGGCCGGCGCTTCTCCAATGTCGGCTTGGTGCACACGTCGGAGCACCGCCACACCGTCAGCGCGGCACAAAGCCTGGAGGCCCTGACTAACCTGCACAAGGCTGACATGGAAAGGAAGAGGGACGCCTTCATGGATCACCTGAAAAGTAAATACCAACAGCAGCAGCAGCAACAGCAGCAGCAGCTGCAGCATCCTCACCACAGCCCCCACCACAACCCCCCCTCACCCTCACCCTCCCATGCCAGCATGAGGGGCTCCTCAGAAAGATCTGCTCGAGAACAGGTAATGATGTGTTTTTATTGAAAAACTGCATTTTTTTCTAAGACCCTCAGATATTTTTTTATATTGTGATATAGAAGACATAGAAGTATTTATTGTAATGATTTTGGCAACACTTGTGTCAGCTTTATTTCTGTTAATGAATAAAGTCTAAGAATATCCCCTTCTTTAAAACACTAAACAGGCTTGAAGTGGGACGCTAAGCTTTTTTAGTAGACATGCCTGGTTTGAATACCAAGTGTCAGATCAGGATTCCGATTAACGCATTTTCAGATTAAGGGCTTTATTTATCAAGATCCAATTTTGCGTGCAGTAATTTGAACTCGCAAACTGGAATTTTGCGCGAGGGGCTGGACCATGGTTTGCGGGTGATTTAACAAGAGCGATTGCGTAACTGGTGGCACGTGCAAAACTGTTGGAGACGCCCTATTTAAATGATGGTTTTGCACGTTTTGTGGTTTGCGGCAAAGTAGTTTGTAGTTTGTACAAACTAGTGCATTAAGAAATTTAAATCTTACAGTGACCCCCCCCAAAAAAAAAAAAAAAAAAATATATATATATATATACAGTATATATATATATATATATATATATATATATATATATATATATATATATATATATATATATATATATGTAAAGAAAAAACTTTGGTAACCTTTATTCCCTAAGGTGGTATGTGGCTGAATTTCTACTTCACTGCAGTAAAAAAAAAAAAAAAAAAACTGGTGTTTTGTATTGGCCTGTAGTAAAATGCACATACCAAATGGCTCAAAAGAAGTGACTGTGGATGAGATTACTGCGCGTACGCATCCCCGCAGCATTGGCATGTTGCTCCATGCCATGTTTTGATGATCGTTTCCTCGTTCATTCCAAAAATATTCACACGGAGTGAAAAAATGTGTTCTCTGAGCCTCCTTGCTTCATTTCGATGTCTCCTTCTTGCGACAATAACCGCTGCCATGTGTGCGCAATTACGGATACAGACCATTTGCACCTTCTTTTGAAACGTCTTAAATATAGAGTCAGATACCGTTAGCAAAATTGCTTTCAGGTTTGACAAATCACTTTGCGAGTGCTAAATTTATATATTTACATGTTCTCCTCCCACAAGACGCACTTTTGCGTGTAAACGCCCCATATTGCATATTCATTGCAGAAAAGGCACTAAATGGATAAGAGACGCTATTTAGCATGTTTTAAAGACCAAATCAAATAGATCAGTTTGTACATTTTTTAGCGTGCGCAGTGAAATAGCTCACGTTTTTATACACGCAAACCTTTGATAGATCCGGCCCTAAGTGTATGAGATTCCCTTACTAAACAAATCTTCTTGTTTTTGTTTTTCTGAATCTGATTTGGTCTGCTACACTTTGGAGACCTCTGCTCACTGTCAGAGTAGAACGAGCTGCAAAGAATAAAACTGTAGCATAATTAAAAATACCTTTAGTTTAAAGTAGTGTTGTACCGATTCCGATACCAGTATCGGGCACGGCCCCGATCCAGCACTAAAATGGTGGTATCGGTATCAGCGAGTACCAACAAACACGACACCGATACCATTTTGAGAGCCAAAAGTTTATTCAACTATTGTCGCCCATTCCAGGTAGGCAATAAAAAGTTCTACTGGATTCACTTTGTATTAGTCCTTTTTCCTGCTTCACAGAGGTAGGCAGCAGCTTGACAAAGCCATGATGGCAATTATTTTACATCCAAGTAGTATGCAGTTCTTCATATACACACACACACATCAATTTTAAACAGACGGTATCAGGATGGTATCGGCTGATACTGCTCAGCCAGGTATCGGGGCCAAAAATTGGCATCGGCGCAACACTAGTTTAAAGCATACTCCTAAATGAACGCTTGACTTACTTTTCTGGAAATTAATTTTATCCTAACAATTAGTTTTCCACTTTGAAATCCAAAATACGGTGTGTTCCAACATGCCTTTCTAAGCAGCTGATGGTATGAAAAAACTACGTTAGAAAACCTTGCCATGATTCTCACCATAACAGATATTTCTTTTACTGTGACTTTCACAGAGTGACATAAATTGAGAATTGATAAAAACACAGATAGAAAGATTAAAATAAAATCCCTTTCTGAATAAGCTAAATCCCAGGGGAATTTTTCAATTTATGCACTTAGAAACCTATTTATAATCTAATCAGCCCTTTAGTCTATGTGCTTTTGTCTGTTCAAACTTGCTGAATATTCCATGCAACTGCAGTTGCATTATTTCTATTTTCTGCCTTAGAAAATACCCTAAAATACTGCATTGCTTGAAGTGAATGATTTGTTTCTCTTTCCATCTCAAACAGCTGTAAGAATTATTTGTAATTTAAAAACAATAGACCAATTGACATCCTTAGTACCTTTTTTTTTTTTTTTTTTTTACATAAAACAGCTTAAAAAATGCATTTGGGTTTCCCAAAATCAAATGTTCAAATTATTTTGTTTCCTGGTCTGTCAATCCTTCCTGGTGTGCTGCTGCAAAATTCAAGTTGGTTACCATTTCCACCTGGTCTAAATTTGCAAAAAAAATCATGATACACTGAATTGCTTTTTATTTTATAACATTCCGGAGTTTGTTATTGGAAAATTCTGATTTTGAAAAACTCATATTGAAATCAGGGACAAAAGAACCAAGATTGGGGGGGCTTCCCTGGTTTTATTTCTGGTAAAAGTCCTGCAAAGCACACAACAAATCCTTTAAAGGGTAGTTTATTTAGTTTCCTATGCACAGAGCGTACTGTGATCTGTGTCTAAGCGCTGCTGCTGGATGCAAATTTGGGAATATTGAAGCGCAATGACGTGACACAAAAGCACATGAGTGAAGAGGAGAGAGAATGAAAGGGATCGAGAGAGAGAGAGAGAGAGAGAGAGAGAGAGAGGGGAGGGTGAACGACAGGTGGAGTCCTGGTTGCCATGGGAACCACTACAGTATAAGTCACGAAGGGATATCACATTGCAAAGGTCAGTATGTGTGGAGAAGGAAGAATTGGACTATAATGAAGACAGAAGGGAAAGATAAGTGTAAGGACATCATGGAGAGCGGACAGATCCTAAAGTGACGGGGCATTTTTGCAGCACCAGGGAGGAAACGAAGGACTCCAGGATTCCTTGTCACCTCATTCATAGAAGGAAGCGCAGCTGTCCACTGACCAACTAACTAGCACCACAAGGACCCAGCAACCCATCTGTGAAGGAGTTAATCGGCTGATGTTGTAATGAATTAAATAAAAAGAGTTTCCGCCGCATGTGCAATTGTAGAGCGAGACAGTGAAAGAGAGGGACTGAGTGAGGAAGAGGGAGGTTTGTGAGAGAAGCAGAGGGGGGGAGAGACGGGTAAACAAAAAAAAAGAAAAAAGAAAAATGCGCTGTGGATTTTCTGCACCTGATGGACAGTCTGGAGTGACTGAAGTGTTGGACAGGCACAGGTGTTCTGCAGGTGAGATTTAACTTGGATCTTGAAGCTGCTGAGTAGATGCATGTGTTCGAGCGTGTGTGTGGGAAATGGATGTGCCAGCTGGGATTAGATTCCATGCCTGTTATGTTTGCTGTGGTTGTTGTAGTGACAGAGTGCATATGCCTCAGCAGGCACAAATCCACAGCAGACGAAAGCTGAGGGGGACGATAGTAAAAGCTGTGCACAGAGCTTTTTGTATTTCCCTTTGAGTGTTGGGTTTATTTTTAGTGCAGATTTTGTCCGCTTTTTTTCAATATATTGAGAATCTTCTGGTGTGTAGCAACAATACTAGACCAGATGAGGATTTTAGGGTGCATGAGTAGGAATGAGTAAGATAGAGGGGAGGGGTTGGGGGTGCAGAGAAGATGACGACATGAGAAAGAGTGGAGGAGGATGGGAGAGAGTATAGGGTCTGCTTTACATGCAGGTCAGGTAATGCAGCCCTCCACTCTTTGAGGCTACGTTTCTCCACTGGAGCCCACATGCTTGTGTCCATGGCAGCGCTTAATTGTGCAGATAATCTTTAAATTTTAGCAGTGAGATTTCCACTTGACCTCTGAGGTCCAAGTTTAATCTGACATCTCAAACACATCTCATTATCTATCTGCAAGAAGCATAAAATGATGCATTAAGATCTAAATTTGATCTGCTTACAGTTTCACCAGATATTATAACAAGCTGTTGAATGTACTCTTTGTACGGAAAATGTGCTTTGATTGCATAGGTGGTTGCCAGCATGTAAAAAGAACACCATAGGTGTAACATATCCAAATAAACCAGTTTGCTTTTGTACTATTTGCAGGTCAAAGTCCAAGCTGTTTTTCTGCTTCTGTGAGCAAAGAAACCAGTAAAAAGGATTAGATGTGTTTACCTTAGAACAAAAAATGAGCCTTATTAATGCAACAGACATTTACAAAACCACAAATCCTTCCTCCACCTTTAAAGCCGTTCCTCTCGGACTTATTTTGTAATGCAGGAAAAAAACAAAATCATTATTAATGTATAAACAAGTGAGCAGCATTTATTTACAACATTGAAGCAGTGCCCCTGAGCTGCCAGCAGATGTAGAGACTTTCAGTGGTAAAACTTTTCTGTTATGTTGAATATTACTGGATAGTCAAGGCCAGTTCACTTCCACTCTGGAGAGACCTTATGATTACTCGTCCATGACACTGACACACTTTACCAACGATCAGTTACCCTTAAACTAATCTCTCCTCAGAGGACATGCAATAATTAACATATTTATCTATCTAGTGGGTTTTTAAATACCTTATATAAATGTTAAATGTGTAAAAAATGCTTTAATAGAATGACTAACATTCTTTTTTTATTCGGCAACAACAACAAAATAACAAACCATCTTTCTCCATCTGTCAGGAATTAAGCTGTAGTTCACGGCGTCACATTAAAGCATTATTTAATTTTAGCTGTTGTTTTTCAGGAGTCATTTATATGCTAAATGAGAGCGGAAGCGTGGGTTGAATATTTTCTCCGTATCCTTTTCTTCTTTAGCATAATGAATCTAAGCCTACAGGTCCACATTACACTGACATTAAAATACGACATAAGGAGGAACCAACCGGCTTTCTCAATTAGCCAACCATTACACTAGGGCTCTCGTTTTCGTATGTTTTAAATAATATCTATAACAACATCTCTTTTTCAGTGATAGATTGTTTTGTTACTGTTACAGTGCCTCATGTCCTTGTAGTACTGTGGCATAATTATGAAATTATCTACCTTCTTTGCAGTAAACTTATCATTTCATAAACAGCTTATATTAATACAGCAAATTGATACTGAAGAAGCAGACAAAAGAAGCGGCACGGCAGATAAGCCTTAAAGCCAGAGATAAATTGTAGATTCTGTCACACAGAACATAAATGGAGCGGCTTCTCTTCGCATAAAACTTTTGTCATTCTTTGGATGCCATTGCATCACCTTTGCACAAATTTCCCTAATAGTATACACACTATGTTGACATTTTAAAACTAACACATTACTCAAAAGAGTGAGGCCACAGTGTCAGAAATGTATCTGGAGGGTAAAATCTAATTTTTGTGTTCAGAAGTAATTTTTAGCATTTTTGCAATATTTAATATCAAGCTGTTCTGTTCTATAACATGAAAACAATGGCTAAAAGAGATAAATAAGGAAAACGTCTTAGTACCACAATGTCGTCCTAAGCCGTTTTTGCAACAACACTGCAGCTAGAACCTCTTGGACATTAGTTTTTTAAAAAGGTTAGTGAGAATGCATGCATGGAAATATATCTCTTACTATGAGGCGCTAATATAAACCAATTATTTAATAATTTACTAAGTATTAAAAAGTCAACTTAAAAAGGTTAAACCTGTACTAAAACTAACCTAAGTGTGGAATAAGTGCACTCAAAACTTGTAATAAAATATCAAGGTTCAAACTGTAGAGGCAAGGATGCATTTTTGTCATGCCTCTAAGGGTAGGGTGCATGTATTAAAGGTATGTATGGGCATTTGTGGGTGGAGCTATAAGTGGGTGTTGGCATGTGTCTGGAGCAGAATGATTGTCTAATGAATATCACCTGGATCTGCTCTGGGGCTGTTTGTTTGTTTGATTCAGAGAGAGGCTAAGGCAGGGAGCCAATATTTCTGTTGACCGCAAGTTTAAAGCAAAATAAGTCTGCAAATCTACCTGTTGTACAATGCTTCATAGAAGAAGGGTACCATAAACATCCCTAACTGCAGTAAAGCTTTTTGTTTCCTCCTAGGATTCAGCGCGTCGAACAGATCCCTGCTCTCCTCTCAGTGACTAATTTTTGGATGATAGTCGCCTACACAAACGTCCATCAGTAAATTAGAGAGTTTAACTTATGCTCCATTCAGACACGTGTAGCAATGACTTCGAGTGACCTGGACAATCATGATCGGTCCAACAAATTATTATTGCATTGAATAGAATAGAACAGAATCCAACTTTATGGTCATTACACTGTCATTGTCATTTACTCTCTGCATTTATCCCATCCCCTTGGAGAGCAGTGGGCTGCCATCGTGCAGCACCCAGGGATCAGAGTGGGATTAAGGATGCTCAGTGACCCAGCGTGGCAGTCTGTGGGAGTGGGGCTTATACTCAGAACCTCAGGGACCCAAGTATGATGCCCTAACCACTAGGCCACCACTCCCCCAATTATCATGATAAGCCTCTACTTATCAAGTTTGCTTTGTGAGCTTCCTGCATTTCTATAATTCTACTCGCTAAAACTATACAAAAAATGTTTTGAAATATTGGTGCCATAAACATGAGAGTACGCAGGAGCTATTCCAACCTGGGTTTGCATGGAAGATTTAACCTTTGCATGAGGCTAATGTGGCAAGCTCTTCTTCAGACTTCTGCTGCTGTTTATAAAGATAGCCTAGGATTTAGTCAAGAGTACATTAAAGCTAATGGTTAGCAATGAAACCCACCATAATGTAGTCATAAATAAAAATGTGCCTGTAATTTTTTTTTTTTATTAATCCCGACTCAGGATAATGTGGGCTTTGCAGAAGAGGGGATGAATATTGCCTGCAGATAGAAATAAGAACGAAGGGTTAGAGCTGCAATTGAAATATGTAAACTCTGCTCTATCTTCTGTTAATATTGCATGTCGCTGTCATAAGATATTCCCGGACCAGCAGTGGCTCTGTCTGTTCTTAACTGTATGGTAATTATGGCTTATTTTATTTATTTAAGATATTGTTTCCTAAGGCTTCTTACGGTTGTAAATATTTTTTCTTTAATGTCCAAACAGCAGGAAGGACAAATGGGCAGATGTTTGCTACAGCACTCAGTGCTGCAAATTGGCAGGTCAGGCTTTGAGGTTGAGATGAAAAGAGAGCAGCAGGTGGAAGGAAACTGGAAGAAACAGAAGAGCAAGAAGGGAACAAAATTGTTTTTGTTGCAGTGGTGAAATCTGGGAGGGAAAAAGGACAGAAAACGCTGATGTTTCATTTGACTTTGTTTTTTCATTTATAACGACGCATTCTTGTTTCAGGTTTTTAGTAGCTGGTAAAACAGAGTCACGGTCACCATAATTGATCACTCAATGCTCGTGTTTTACATGAATGTTATGAATTAACCTGTCAGAAACAATGATTCTTGTTTAACACAAGCAGAAAGCAGCACGTACATGATAATTGTAATTTAGTTGCTTGTGTATCTTGTTTTATTTGCAATTATTCTTGAAGTAATTCTTATTTTCCTTTGTATCCCCCTTCTTCCTTTTTTTCCTTCATGAAATTCAACAGCAACAGCCCAACTACTGGAGCTTTAAGGTAGGTGCTGCTTGTCTAAGTGCGTTTGTCATTCCTCTGTCTGCTTTGTGTCTTTACGTCTGTGGCATCTTGTCCATGCCCCCCACTGCTCTTTCTTCCCCCTCTCCTTTCTCCTGTAACATCTTTTCACTGTCTGGACAGTGCTTGTGTGTGGTTGTGGCATGTTTGGTGGCAGATATGCCAAAAATAAAAACAGCTTAAACTTCTCCATATCCATTTAATTGGACCATTCTCCACGGACTTGTGACACCTCTGCTACTTGCTAAAAGTACGGGACCTCATAGTTATGTTATACTGGAAGAAACATAAAGGAGACTTTTTAATGTGCTTTAATGAAATGCTCTTGTATTTGGAGAGATATGTCCGTGTTAAATCGAAAAACGTTGATTTGGCTTATAAGAAGAAATCTAAAAAGTTTGGATTTTTGACCGATTGATTAATATGACCCTTTAGATCTGTTAACTTAAATTACAAACTAATCGCACAATAACTGTTTTTTGTTTGCATGACAAAAAAAGTACATATTGAGTTTAATTAACTTTTTGATCTGAAAACTCCTCTTCAAATAGTTTTTAAACACAAGCAGAAATATGACAATCTAAAGATATTTAGTTATATGGCAAAATGTAATGTCTTGATAATATCTGTTATTTATTTTATACTTAGTTGAATTGATTGGCTTCCACTGAACCTTAGGATTTAATCATAGTCCTCCACATGCTCCGGTTCTATTAAATGCTCTTTAGTTGTTTGACTGTCTGTTCACCTAAATCATGTGTCAGTTTAAAAAAAAATGCTGCAGAAAAGCTGGAGACATTATTAAAACCACCAACATTTCACTCATGCATTTAGACACCTTATATTTGCACATTCTCCTGCAAGGTTTTCTGTCTAATCAGTAAAGCTGTAGAAAACCACGTCCTACTTCAATATTCCACTAGCTCTAATCTAAGCTCAGCTTTCCACTTTTATGCTTAGTTAAGAGTCCAGGGAGATTAAACAAAGGCTAAACTTAATCACTGTAAGGTTCCTTGAAGAAAATCTAAAAAAAAAATCTCTTTTGGTTCATAAGCATAATATCACACAAAAATATTTAGAACAATCTAACTATTTATTTCGGAACATTCATTATATCCCGGCGGACGGGGGCAGGGAGCCAGCAGGGGGACAGAGCGACCGAACCCGACCTGGTGACAGTAGCCTGGACACCGGTGGCCTCGTGCTTCCCCCCGCCTGCCTTACCGGCCCCCAATCCCCATTCTACGACTGAGGATGTGCAGCTCATGGCTCTCTGCTGCGGCCAAGCAGTCGACACTTCAAACAGCTAAATTAGTGTCTTACATCTTCGTGACCGCTATTCATGTTCTTGGGCCAGTGAACCAGTGGGCTGGTCTGTATGTATATTTCAGGGTGTGACAAAAGTACAGGCCAGAACCAAATAAGGCAACATCCGAATTTACGTAAAGTCGGGGCTTCGATTTGATTCGCCTGTTTTATGGTGGAAGTTTGGAATTGTGAGATTTGCAGATAAAGCAGGTGTTGAAGGGTTTTGAACTTCTCTGTACGTCCATTTCAACCACTGATCTGTTGTTATTTATCTATGACAATGTAAACTCGGTTTTGCATTCTATGACCACTTTAATAATAATTGCTCTGAATGTAGATATAATGTAGTTTGTTTTTAGGTATTTCCTTATTAGATCAGATCACCATTTCAAGGTGTACAGAATCACAGCATGTTTGTCTTTCCCACCTCAAACACTGGCTAAAGATCTATGCATCATGTCATATTACTTAAGAAATGACAAATATTGAGACACAACATCTTTGATTTTGCAGTTGTCCAGGTCCTATATAACTAACTCTGTCTCGGAATCTCCATCATCATCTCGCCTCTTCTTTAAAAGGATATTTTTCTTCCGTTATTTTTACATGCTTCATCTACTTACAATTTACCGGGTTATGACAGAGTCATCACTTCCATGCATTTATGACTCCAGGTCGTCTGAAGAAAAATGACTCCATTATTATGAAGAGATTCTGTGTCCGGACGATTTGCTGCATTGCTAGAGTAGTTAAAGGGAATTAATTGAATTGGTGGGAGTAAAATGGATATGAAGTATGGGTGTTTTAATGAGTTGTTTTCTATAAATTTTCTAAAAGATGAAGAAAATGCTGACTAGTTAAAATAAAGTGCAGATAGATGCACCACAGATTAAACATTTTGGATGTTACTCTGACTTCTGTCGGCAGAGACTGAGACAAAGAGATAGAAGTTGACATTAGTCGCATAAGAGAATCAGAAACAACCTTTTAGTGTGATAGGAATTAACCAGTAAGGTGCGAACATGGTATTAAAGGTACATGAAGGAAACATAACTAGAGTTGGAGATAAACAGAAGCTTTTAATGACAAAAAAATATGATTAGTAGAAGAAATGAAAGAAAATGAATGTCATAAGAACAGCCAGCTTGTTGGGCCCTTGACTAGAGAAGACAGCACTGTATCTCCATAATCACACATTAACACAACAGGCGGTAATGAATCCTCTTTCTGTCTCTCCACAATTAGATTGAATCCAACATGATGACCTCTTGAGCATTATCAGCTGCACTTTGCATGTTCTGGATTTATAATAAACCATATATGCTGTACTGTGTGTAATATCCCTCAGTTCATATTGGGCTAAATGATTTATCTCGCAACATTTAAAATGATATGCTGGAAATATTAAAGCAAGGGGATTATAGTTTCCAGCAGCTGAATGTTTAATTTTTCAGGCAATCATGAGAGCATTGTGACTCTCAGCAAAGTCAGTCATCAGACGACAGCTGCACCGACGGCCAATTAGATTTCCAGGGTGCAACTCTGCTTACTATTTTTGCTCGATGCGTAGACTGAAAATCTGGCAGATGTATTAACATTTAATTGGCTGTAAAGATTACATCTTTAATACTGTGAAAATTATCAAAGAATTTATCTATGTCATGATTACTTTCACACTATTTTATTTGATCAGCAAATACATTTATAATCAGACCGATGACCTAAAAAATTTGTTTTTAATTAATTACTTTATCTGAATGGATAATTTTCTATTTAAGCCTATCTGTCTGTGTGTCAGAAAGTAAACAGCCCCTAAACCTGCTGTAATTACCGGTTGTTCCCTTTTATTAGGTTGAGGCAAGCAAGTATTTGATATGACTGTAAGGTTTACATCACTATGGAGGAATTTCGGCGCATATATGGATTTGGGTTTTCTTATATGAAAAGTCAGTTTAGGTGCATCCCACCACATAGCAATACGTCTGGGTTTTTTCTTGGCTCCTTTCTGGTTTTCTGTGAATTATTGTTCAGCTGCCAAACTAAGTGTACCGGAGACTGGATATCCTCCTGGATATTATTGTAGAGAGCTAAATTGATTATTAGCTGTAATAAAAACAGAAAACGTTTTATTACAACTAGTCCTGGTCCTGAAGCAAAGAAGCAGCCGCAGGCTATCAAACTATGACCACCATGTTTGACTCAGAATGATCTTCATCTGTAGGATATTTAATTAGATTTACATTGAATGTTATGGGAAATAAACATTCCAAAAAGTTAAATATTTGTCTCTTTAGTTTAGAGTTGTTGTTTTTTTAAATCATTAAGATGTTGTTGGCAAATTTATTTTTTTCCCCAGTTTCTCACATATAATTTTGAATCACGAAAGCTAGCCATAATGGAATAGAATTTACCTTTATTGCCATTCCACTGTAACAAGTATAAATCAATGAAATTAACTCTTTGGATTTAACCCATCCCCTCTGAGAGCATTGGGCTGCCATTGTGAGGTGCCTGGGGAGCAGTGTGGGGTTAAGGGTCTTTGCTCAGAGAGCCAGGGTGGCATTCTTTGGGAGTGGGGCTTGAACTCAGAATCTCTGGGACCCAAGCGCAATACCCTAACCACTAGGCCACCACTCCCCCAAGTTAGGCAGGTAAAAGTTTCATATGTTCTGCTACTAGACTTGTTTAATTAAGATTATTTAGTTTTTATAAGAATGATACTTCTTCATGTCTTCAAATGTTGGACTCTGTTTACCATGCTTCATTAAGGTTCATCACAAACCGTAGAGCCATGACACATCACTGTGACCTGTACTCTCAGGTGGGATGGCCTTCCCTCTCTACGAGAAGGAAGGGCCATTGGTAAACGTTTATTTAAAAGGCCCTTCTTGGATTACTGCCCTCTTATATTTGTACCTTACTTACACAGAATAGCATGGCTTCTTATGCCCTGAGATCCAACGATCAGCTGTTGCTCACTGTTCCTTTTGCCCGAACAGAACTGGGGAAGAAAGCCTTTAGCTATGCAGCTCCTTCTGAGTGGAATATTTTACAAAGAAACTGAAAGTTGACTGAGTTTTTATCTTTAAATGCTTTGAAGTTGAAAGAGAATTTGAAGCAGCCTCAGTGATCTGTAATTGTTTTACTTGATAGGTTTTTTATTTTTTATGTGCCTGTCATTTATTTTAATGTATCTATGTTTAATGTATCTTACGTAACTTTGCTGCCTCTTGGCCAGGACTCCCTTGAAAAAGAGGTTTTTAATCTCAATGGGATTTTTTCCTGGTTAAATAAAGGTTAAATACAATTTTAAAAACATTGTATGGTTAAATCCCAGTTAATATACAGCAAGCAGGAAAAATACATTTTCATTTGAGGCCAGGCGTGTTTGAGCTTTTACACCTTATGAATCATATCTTTTTTTTTATCTAATACTCACCTTATGATCTTAAATATTCAAATATGACAGAAAAGAAGCTAAAACAAAATAAATCTACTCTGGGAAAATACTTATATCATAAAGGTCAACTACATTTCTTTCTATCTTATGCTATGTCCTGGTTTTAGGTTTTTGACCTTAAAACCTTCTTCTGTGAGGGTATTAGTGTTTTATTTTGTTTGACAGCATGCATTCATACTAGTGTGTTCAAACACAAGAAACCAGATGACATGGTAGGAGGTTGCATAAGTTTAATGCAGTTTATAGCCTGAGGTCCGTTGTCAGGCTACCTTGTCCCACTTTCCACTCCTTACTTTTTCTTCTCATCCACGGTTTATAAAGACTATAGACTATTCAGTATCAACTGGGTGTCGTTGAAATGTTCATGATTGCTTATAAATAAAGGGTTTACTGAGTGAAAAGCAGCAGAACCAGTTCCTGGCTTTTCAGCAGGAGCAGATGCATAACCAGATGGTGTTTTCTCATGTCATTTTTAGAATACAGAATTACTGCAGAAAGATATGATCAAATCTCCTGTAAGTGGAAACAGAAGTATAGAAGTCAGTTTTTGGAACATGATGTAAAAAGTCAAGACTCAAATTATGATAGATTTGTAATTCAGCTGCACATTTTGAAGAGAATAAAGCATCCGTCTTTGCTTTTCCTGTACAGTTTATCAGAAAATAAAAGTTGAGGTTTGTAGCCTTTGTGGGCAGGAGGTACTTTGATGCTCATTGTTCACATTTTTACTTGTCTTGTAAAAGAAAAAAAAATCAAATGCTTTTCTCAGAGTGGCATAAAATTTCTAATATTCTCAATTTATATTCTTTTAATTCCCCTGTCTCTTACAATATCTTTGTCTTTAGGCACTCCATCTGATGATATTAAAATTCTACTCTAATCGAAGCTCCAGCGAATCAAATGTATTTATTACATTTCCCCTTTAATATTCGATGGTTTGATTATAAGGCCAGAATGTTGCACTCTGCAGTATCTGCTGAGCCTCTGGGAAGCTACTGGCTGTTGTTTTTTTCTGTGTGGTCACTGCTTAGATAAATTACCCTATTAGAAAACATGTTGGGGGTTATCTGTCAGCATCACACGCTTTCCGTTAGCGTTCTAAAACTTTCTGCCAACACTATCCCTAGATCCTCCACGAGTGGGTGTGGGACTGAATTATGTATAATAGTGTCAAAAGGATTTGGACGTTATATGATGAAAAGCCTACAGGCAGTTTACCTTGAAAACTTTTTGTACATGTTTTTATTTAAAACAATAGCGGTAAGCGTAAGGAAAAAAAAAGACAATAATTTGGAGTAAAGAAGAGTGATCAGGCATCCTCTATTGCAAAACATGTCTATTCAAACTGTTGTTATTGTCAAAAACATAACAATTGTAGAAGATTTCAAAGGTCATGCACTAACATATTGTTGTAGAACAAAAATCTGACATTATTTTCTACTACTATATATAATTTATTTATGCTTTTCAAAGCAGAAATATGAAATAAAACAATTTGTTCTATTTAGCTGCTTTATTCAGTATCTACCGGTTTATATTTCTTTAATCCGGGGGAATTTTTCACACATCGACAAATAAGGTGTCAAGTAACTTTTCATTGGGATAATTTTTTAAGACATTAAGATACAATGCTGTGTTGAAGTTTTTATAGCGGTCGGACACTGCTCAAGCCTCACATGAAAATACATGAGCTTAGAGGAAGCATATGTTTGCCACAAGCAACCAAATCTCCAAATGCCCAAATCTTTCTAATGCACTTATGTGAGTGCAAAAGCAAGAAATTTAAAAATATAAGCTCAGCTTCTGTTAGAGGTCCCTAGGTCAAGACTCAAACAGTGGGGCGATCGTTCTTTTGCCGTAGCTGCTCCCAGACTGTGGAACAAACTACCCCCTGACATCCGCACCACTACTGAAATTACTAAAGTAATTTCCCTTTGAGATTATTAAAGTATTTCTGATTTCTGATTCTGACCTCAGCCTTTTAAAAAAAGCTTAAAACACCCTTTTTAAAATTAGCATTTAATTCTGACTAGGATAATACTGTCTCTTAGATGTCCTCTTTCTGTGTGCTCCTTTCTATGCACCTCTGGAAGGCTTTTAATGTCCTGCAACGCTGCACCACTACGGCACTTTTAATTGTATCTGTATGTTTTGCATGTGTTATGTATTGTTTTATGGCTTTGTTTTAAAGCACTTTGGGTACCATTTGGCTATTGTAAAGGGCTATACAAATAAATTTCATTGATTGATATAAACAGGTAGTAAAGACTTTGCATTCAGAAAAGAAAATGTCAGTCAAAAGTGAGTGCTTCAGTGGAAAATAAACATCTCTTAAATTTGAAACAGAACTTTTTTTCTCTGTCTTCAATATGGCTTTTGCTTCATCTGATAGACTTTAACAACAGCCAAATAGATGCGCCGTCACTAACGATCAAGTGTTAAATACTCTATGTCACTCACTTCTTAACAAGGACCACTTTGGGTTCAGACAGTGCCACACTAAATGAGTGAGTCATTTACATTAATTTATTTTGGGGGTTTTCACAGTTAATCAGTTTTGTTATACACTTTATTTAGCATACAATGTAATTAGAAATTAAGAAAGTAATACTTTTTCCTTAACATGATTGAAATCTCACAGCTCCTGACTTATTTAAATCATTTTTTTGTTTTAATTGGGAAAAGTTCTTTCTTTCCTAATCTTACATATTTAGAATCTTTGAACTGAAGTAGCCAGAATACAAATAATGTCTTGAAGTAAAAGCATTGCTATCTTTTAAATGTATTTTTTTTTTCATGTTTTTGCAAGATCGCTCTAGGAATTGATGTCGCAGAGCTAAATAATAGCCCAAAAGATTTTCTTTCAAAAGCAGACCTTTATGACTGTTTACATAGGGTTCCAATTGGTACTTTTATATAAAACTTTATTGAAAATGATTTAGGGAGTAAAATGATATAGAATGGATAGAAAGAAAGAGGGAATAACAATGAAGGGGATGCTTCAAAAAAAGTTTGGTACTTGTTACTATCGTAACAAGTGCAACAAAAAAGAAGTCAAGACCCCCTTAGTATATTTACATTTTTCTAATTTATATTTAATAAATGCTTTTTAATGTGTTTAAAGAGAGAAGCCACTGACCACGGGTTAAGAAAATTTGAAATTATTTAGGTCAAAATGGCGAAATTCTGAACTAAATACCGAAATAACTATTTATATTTTGGTAAATCTTTCATACCACTTGAATTGGCCCACTTAAAGCTGTGATTTTGACCATAAAAGGTACCTAAACCCTCAATTACACAAAGAAAGTGATTTAACTCAACTTTGCTTTTTGTCTGTTTATTGCTGCATTTCTACAGGATGGAAACGGGTTATTTAAACTGTATCATGCTGCCGGTATAAAAGTGAATGGATTTAAAAAGTTGCCCTAATAAAGCCGCAGTAGGTTGATGCAGCAGCCGGACTTAGGCAGGGAGAAGATGAGGTGACAACCGTTGTGTTCATGCTTCAAAGAGAAGGAGACAGGCACAGCTACTAAACTGTGGGCTGAGGATGTGTCTGCTTGTTCCATGGAAACAATCAGCAGACAGCATTCAGGGAGCTCATTACAGCAGCCTCTGAGCTGGAGGAAACGCTGCAGCGGTGGGGAATCAGGGAGTTCAGTTCAGTGAGCTCAGCCTCAGCCGAGCTAACAGTCTTTTGGAGGGAGAGAGGGCTGGGTGTAAGCCAGCGGGATAAACCCACAGTGACAACCTGGGATATGCATGAGCTTCACCTCTCATCCCACAAGCACTCATTTAAAAGTTCATAGGTGTGCAGAGACAAGAACACATATGAGGGATGCATGGATGAATTTGAAGAGTATGAAGCATAAGTTTTGTCGGGTTGTAGCACAGTTTAATACTAATAAATCTGTGAGGAGAGCCTCTAGACTAATGCATTGTATTTTTTATTCTTCTTATGTCATAAGCTGTGATGCAACAAATTTGCAGTGAATAGCTGGTAGATAAAACCTTTTGTCAGGGTCTAAAAAATCTTGTTAGCTGGCTTATTGTTTTTTACCTCATTGTGTGTTCACCATCTCTTCCAGTTGGTCTTGTGGCATCAGCCATGTCTAATTCTTTTTTTCAGTCACGGTTTCACTTCTCAGTAAATTTACACATTGTTTTGTGTGTTCCGCAGAGCCGCAGTCCACGCCATTCCCAGTCTACCCAGTCCGGGCTCGCAGATCAGGCTGCCAAGCTTTCCTTTGCCTCCGCCGAATCCTTGGAGACCATGTCAGAAGCAGACATGCCTACCGGGTTTAACCGGATGAACCGATTCCGTCAGAGCCTGCCGCTGTCTCGTTCTGCCAGCCAGAATAAGCTACGATCTCCAGGTAATGATTTTGGAGATTCTGGCATGGCCTGTCGTAACGGGCTGGTTGCACTGGAGGGAGATTTAGCACCTTTCTCTTTATTTCATGTTTCTGTGAAACACTGTGCTGTCAGGTAGTGTTAGGAGGTGTTGTATTCTTAATTTATTGGCCATAAACTGCTTCCCCTGCTTAACTGCCCTTCTGCATTAAAAAAAAAACAATTAAATTATTAAATTAATTTTTTTCTGAATATATATGCATATATAAGTGTAAATTTTCCAGATACGTGCTGTAAAATAACAGACTGTGTGATCTAATGTTTGGAGTATTATTAAGATACCAAATGTTGTGATTAAGATAGAAGGAAAATCAAGTATTAGTCATGTTATATTGATGTTAGGTCAAAAAAGATTAATCATTCTGGACTGAGGTCATCATTTGTGCCAGTGAACAACAGGGAGTCCATGGTGTTAGCAATATGAATATAAAGTTAAGCAGAAATAGAAAAGCTGATCTTTTTCCTCTGTCTCTACTAATACCTGTCTTTTTTCTTTTCTCTATGACTTGTACCTATTCTTTTTTGCCCCCATTTGTAATTGTGTTTGACTTGTTGTTTTTTGTTTGTCCCTTCGTGTATGAAGATGAATTTTCAGGTTAGTCAGGCATCATACACCTCTTACAACATAATACCTATTTTTTTCCCCTTTTTTATTCTTTAAACAAGGTTCCCCTTTTGTTTTGCTGTTTACATAGAAAACACTCATGTAACAAATCAATTTAGCTGTTTTTACTATCAAAGCTGTTTATATATATATAATTTTTTTTTTACCTTATATAGTTTGACCTTTTTTGCATTTCGTCATGTTACATATTATTGGGATTTTATTAGTTGAACCAACACATAGTAGGGTATAAGTGTGAGTCAGCTTTTAATCTTACCTTGCAGTAGACCCTGAGGTTTTTTTAACGTCCTGAGGTCTACAATACTGTTCTTACACCTAAATTAGCATTATTGTTGTATTTTTCCATTATTATATTTCCATTTTAACCATTATCTCTAAAAGCTTGTCTTCCATTGGCCTTGATTTATCATCTTCCAAAAAGCTGTTACTAGCTTCCCTGATGCTGCTGGGTTTAGCATACCCACAGTGTGATGCTGACATCAACTTGCTTTTATTATGGGATGCTGTTTCAAGAGCGATATATAGTTTAGGTCTATTCTTCGGTTGTTTCAAATGTTTTCTACAAATTTCAGTTTAGGCCTCATCTGTTGCTTGACAAGAGTGCTTTCTTTCACACATTGTGGGTAGAAGTTGAAATAGAACTTCTAATGACTTTCTGTCATAAATTCTTCTTGGATTCTTACTGTAAAGGCAGATTTGTAGAGTAAGCCACCTAATCACCATTGTTTCCACCTGAACTGTGGATTACTGCTGTTTCTTTAGGGTAATCTTGCCACAGTGCTTTGATTTTATGAGGATAGAAAAAAACTGGGGATGTCTTTTATAACCAAACCCTGCTTTGAATTTATTCCCATGCTGCCGGTTATATAATGTTCTCTGAAAAACCACTGAGGTCTTCATAGAACAGCTGAATTTATACTTAGATTTAATTACACATAGTTGGACCCTATTTACCAATTAGGTTACTTCTAAAGGTGATCTTTCCCTTCTTTATTTATTTACTACAAATATAGAGCTACTTTGTGTTGGGTTTAAAAATAAAATCTCAATAATAGGTATTGAAATAATGGTTTTATTTTTAAATGAAAATGAAATTCAAGTTTTAATCACAAAAAAAGGCCCCTTATTTTTTTTTCTTTACCAGGGAGCATAATTTATGGATAACGACCAACAACACAGCTTGTGAAAAATGGCTCCTCTGGTTATTCTCCCATCTAATAAAGCCAAAAAACTTCTGACTCAACCACCTCTCCCCCACAACTCTCTCCTAGGCGTGCTTTTCCTGCAGTATGGAGATGAGACACGGAGGGTTCACATCACCCACGAGCTCAGCAGCATGGACACGCTGCACGCTCTCATTGTGCACATGTTCCCTCAGAAGTTGACAGCGGGAATGCTAAAGTCACCCAACACCGCAATACTGATCAAAGACGAGGCACGAAACGTCTTCTACGAGCTGGAGGACGTCAGGGACATTCAAGACCGTAGCATCATCAAGATTTTCCGCAAAGAGCCCATCTATGCTTCTTACCCTGCAGCTGCACACCTGGCTAATGGAGACCTGCGGGTAAGCAGAGCAGACCTGAGAGGTGGGAGGGTCAAGGTGTTTCAGATTTTTCTGTTATATTGCAAAGCTGGAGCCACAATAAGGCTCTTTATATTCAGACATTTTTTAAACAGCGTCTTTACAGACTTTTGCTGTGCATTGGGGGTTAGGGATGGAACATCTTTTCCCATTGGAAATGTATTATTTTTTTCATCTTCAAATATGCCATCTGTTGCTGTGCAGCAGGAGAGAACATCCTCCTCTGTAAAACGACCATATTTTCACATTTAAAACAATTTCTGCTTTAGTAAAGATAATGACAGCCGTAGGGAGAACTTTTTTAAAGTATTAGGGGTGCAAAACTCTGCTTACCATCTGCATTATTCACACCAAACTGGGAAAACAAGTGCTATAAAAAAATGTGGTGTTTTAACAGTCTTTGTGCTAAAATTATGCTCACATTCATCCTTCCAACTATTTGAAAAAAGACATTTTGGATATTTTTCTTTTTCTCAAGCAGGTCTAAGTTAACATTCTCTGAATATTATATTGGAAACATGAATCCAACAAAACAAAGATGTAACTGAGAGGCTTAGGCTACTTTTCACATCATTTTCTTTCTTTGTCCACTGAAGGTTTATAAATTAGAGCAGAAGAACAACAACAAAAAATGTCACAGAGGGATATTGAAAGAAGATAAAGTAAATGAATCCTCTTTAACTGAGAGGTGATGTAGAACCGTTGTCTCTCTCAAAGGTGAATGGGTCAGCATCTTTCTGTACATGTTTTCTATTTTGCTATAGATACAGAAATTACAGCTAGGTTTTTACATGTAGTGGTTAAATAGATACATTTTTTCTCACTGTCTGGTATTGAACAACACATTTTTTAATGATCTTTGATGACAAAAATATTTGTATTTGCCAGAACAGGGAAAGATTAATTGGAAAAAATTATACAATTTTCTGTTAAGGCTAAAAAACGTGTTAAATTAAAGTCTTCATGGTAAAATCAATGTGTGAAATCAGAAGAGTCTGTTTACATGTAAAGTTAGTTAGGCTATAACATTGTCAGTTGTATTGACTTTTCCTGTCCACACATGATTTAGAAGAACTGAAGCTGAAGTTTTAGGATGCTGTGATTAAGAAAAAAAAAACAGACAGGAGGAAACAAACTTGGGTTCAGATACAAATGATGCTGTTGTGTCGTTTAATACCAGATAGTAAGACAAATGATTGTGTCTATTTAACCACTACGTGTAAAAAATCTGTTTAGCGTGTAGTTACTATATCTATAATAGAGTGGGGGAACAAAGTGATGGAAGATGCTGACCCAATCAGCTTTGAAAGAGTCTATACTTCCGCATTAGATCCAGTTAAGGAAGATTCTTTTTTATTAAAGTTCTCATTTACATATTAACATCAGAATACTGTGTTTTCTACACAGTTCTACTCTTTCGTATTCCAGAAATCTAAAATATCTTAAGACTCCTTTATTCATCCAAATAGGGAAAGCCCAGATTATATTTTTATGACCTTCTAAGCCTCTGGAATCACAGCATTTAGATCAATAAAGGGGCACCTTTGGATCCATTTAAGAAAATAAACGTAAAGCTACTGCTTTCTGATGTGACATCTCGGTAAAATAATTCAATTCAGTTTATTTATATAGCGCCAGTTCACAACACATGTCATCTCAAGACACTTTTCACCAGATCATCCAGTCAAATTGATTCAAAGTTTTCTATCTAAGGAAAACCAGTTGATTGCATTGACTCATTAACTCAAATGCAATACCTCACACAAAGCATGCTTATAACGACAGTGGAGAGGAAAAACTCCCTTTTAACAGGAAGAAATCTCCAGCAGAACCAGGCTCAGTGTGAGCGGCCATCTGAGGCCGCCTGGGGTTCATGGAGACAGAAGCAGAGATACAAAAAACAGCTGCAAAAAAAGGCCCGGTCCAGGAAACACACAGCCCGGCAGACAAGCTCTGGGCCAGCTCCCATGTCAGAGGATGAAGAGAGCACATCCAGACAGTCACAGTCAGAGAAACAGGACTACACTGGAAAACAGGCAGATCTCCAAAATCTATAAACAAGGGTGTTGATGGTGAAGCACAGCTGATATTTCTCTCCAGGATGGTGTCAGTTCAAAAGCAACATTTAGAAAAATACTAGGAAGATGATTGTGGACTTTGTTGATCAATCGTTTTGTGGATGTGGATGCATCAGGCTTGGTTTAGTCATTTAAATGATGTTTTTATCCATATTTAGACATTAGCAGAAATCTTCGTTACATTTTTCTTTCAGACTAGATTTTGAATTGTTTTTCGTCTTTTTAACAAGTTGCCTTTCAGGAAATTCTTTGTATAATGCCAGCAGTAGGATAGTCTTTTTGGAGACTCATCCTTTTCTCCTGCTGGCGATCTTTCTAACAGCAATCTTGTTCCTTTCAGAGAGAAATGGTTTATTCATCTCGGGAATCATCCCCAACGCGCCGCCTCAACACCCTTCCTTCCTCTTCGGGATCGGCACCCTCTGGCTCTCCATCCCGCTCTCGCCTGTCGTACAGCGGGGGCCGAACTCCCTCCTTCTCTGGGAACCAACCCCAGCACGAACAGCCCAGACATTCCCATCACCCCCCAGGTGGCCACGGTGCTAACCTAGGTCTGTCTCCATCACCCAGTGCTATTTTGGAGCGTCGTGATGTCAAGCCGGATGAAGAAGTTTCTGCAAAAAAACTGGCTCTTATGAAAAATGAGGCACTATACGCAGATCCCTATAGTTTGATGAATGAAGGTCGTCTCAGCATCGCCTCCACCCAGTCTCTGGCTGCCATTGGAGACCCTTTCAACTATCCTGTTACCACTGGCCTATATCGGCGAGGGTCTGTACGCTCTCTTAGCACCTACTCTGCTGCTGCTCTTCAGGGAGACCTGGACGACTCATTCTACAAGCCTGGAGGCTCGCTGTATTCTGACACATACTCCTCTGCAACCCTCGGAATGGGATTTCGAATGCCGCCCTCATCACCACAAAAAATCCCTGACATTCAGCTTAGGGACAGAGACTCGTATTCTACTTCACCACGCCCCTCTCCTGTCAGGCAGAGTTTCCGGAAAGACTCTGCCTCTTCGTCTGTATTTGTGGACAGCCCGAAATCCAGGCCAAGCTCCAGTTCAGAGCCAGGCTTTGGTCCCGCTTTATCTGGACAGGATGGAGACACAAGCAGGTCAGTTCCAGCTAGTTTCATCTGGAAAGGCTCACTCAATGTCCTCTGACATAAAACACTCCCCAAATCAACCCTTTATAGAAGCATTGAGCACTGCAGTGTACTCTGCCTATGCTAGTAATCTTATTAGAACCTTATATATTTTTCAGGGACCACCGCCTAGAGCGTATGGAAGCCATGGAGAAGCAAATAGCCAGCCTGACTGGCCTCGTGCAGAGTGTACTGACCAGGGCACCAGACAGCGACAGCACGTAAGACCCTCCATTAGACCCCATTAACCCTCTAAAAGTCACAAATACAGCCTCAGCTTTGACACATAGGCTGGAGTATTGACAGGAACAGCGCCAGGCTATTATCAGAGCCATTACCAGCTCCACAGTAGTGAAGTATTGCACTGCCTTGTGCGAGCACAGCACTAGTAGAGACCACTATAACATCAGCTGCAGGCAGCTGTGCTATTGATATGCTGTCAGATTCACACAGTTTTCAGCTTCTCACATTTACTATGTCAAGCTATCTTCGTTTGTATAACCTATATACCAGCAGCTTATTTACTAGAAAAAAAAAGATAACCGACTTAATGCCAGTTTCATTGTATCCGGTAGTAGTGCTTTGAGCATTAGCTTTGTAATTGCCTTGCCCTGTGGCCGTTGATCCTCAGATGCGGCCTACTGCGTCTCTGCATGATGGCGGGCTGCCCTCCGGACCAAGGGACGGAGTTTTCACGCCCATTACCTTTCTCTTCCAGCGAGAAGACCGAAACTAACAGTGACGGCTCCGCCACTGGAAGTGAGTAGAGCAGAGTAATTGAGACCTGTGTACCGAAGTGTTACTAACACGCCTGTTTCGCATCCCTTCACTCATGTTCTTTCTAACTCTCCTCCCGATACATTCATAATCCACAAGTTTGCAGATCTCCGGGTCTATTTGTCCATGCTCCAGGATAGGCAAGATTTATATTATCTCTAATATATTAATTTACTGCTTTTTTGGTGTTATTCCTTTTTTTTAATTGATCTTATTAAGAGAAAAAGAAAATCTATGTGTTTCATTTAGTTTTTCTGGCAAAGCAATTTCCAAATAAAAGTGAGCATCTTAAGCCTGTTAAATGTAAACATAATTATGTAAAATGTAGGTGTAATATTATTTCATAAGTTTGCTAAAAGGGCTTACTGCTCAGGGTGGCATACCATCATAGGTTGGCAAGAGAGCTGTCTGTTGCACCTGAGCTAAAGAAAATCCAGGTTATACACTGCTTTATTTCTAATTAGTTTATAAAAATTGTAAATTTGTGACTTTTGTGACTTTAAAGTGGAGCTTTTCTGCGCTAAATAAAGGGATGTTCTGATGTTTTGCTAAGCAAAGAATGACAATCGCAAAATTAAACATCTTACTTTTGAATATAAACAATTCCTGATCAAACCTTAGCTAGAGTATTTTATACTAAACAGAATTTCTTATAAACCATAAAAATTACCACATTTAGGGGAATTTAGATCATTTCATTAATTCCATGCTTAGATCGTTCTAAGTGGAAACTTTAATATTTAGAAAAGTCAAACCTGGATGAATGCAGGGCTCTGTAGTTTTATCAACAACATAGTTCAATTCTCCATTTTAATTCTCATGGAGGCAGTTAGGCAGATAGTGTTAGAACCATCAGGTATTACCAATCACAATTAAAACTTTGCCCACAGGCTAGTTGAATTAATGCAGCTGCTTTAGAAATTAAATTATACCTGTTTTCTAAGAAACTAAACTGACCGCAAAGAGCTTAGAAAAAACAATAAAGATGGGAGCAAACTGTTAATTACTAGACTGCCTTAAAAACAACATTTTAAAAAAAATGAACAAAATTCTACTTATCTACACAAATTTGTTCTTGTGGTCTATGTTGACTTCACTAAAATAAACAATTACACATTGCGATATCCAGTCAGATGAAATTAGAAACACATTTTTAAGAAAAAAGCAATATAAAGAAGGGTGTTAGGAATTAGAAAAGCCATTTTTTTTTGTTAAAATGTGGTAAATAAAGAAGCAAACCTTCAAAACCTTAAACATAATCTTCTAAGTCAGGTTGGAAACCAGAGCTGTAAAGCATTTGGTTTACCTCTTCATTGTAAAATTCTTGTCTTAATTTACCTTCTTAATAAATATGAAATTATTTATATAATAGTATTAACTTAAAAATAATCTTGTAGCGTAGATCATATCAATTAATCCCCCCTTTTAAGCTGAGTTTAGGCTGGTTTAAACACAGATATTCTTTGTTCAGATCTTGAAGGACGCCTCTGAATCTTCTTCATAAATTGCTGCACTGCCAAAACACTGGGACACCTCCACAGTCCCAGTAGATATCTGTGGGTTTATCCCTCTTTAAATTTGGACTCTGAAGACTCTCCTCTCCTTTTTGTCTTTCTATCCCTCCTCATTAATTTCTTGGTAACTTGCTCACTCTTTCTATATTCCAGCTGGACGTCAGAAGAAGAAAGGTAGTTGACATCTCCTCCTCCTCTCATCCTTTTTTTATTTCCTCTGTCAGACATGCACCATAACTCTCTGCCCTCTGTATGGCTGTTGGTGTTGCTGGACAAACAACAGTCTCTGCTCTCTTGTTTTCCTCCTGGCTGTTTTTTTCTCCCCCAGACTCCTTTCCCTTTGTTTCTAAATCTGGAATTCTTTGCTTGGTTGTTTTTGAAATTTTCAGAAGTTTATTTTGTCACACACTAGACTCTCCTTTGCAAGTGTGTATGTGTGGTCAAATAAATTGCAGATTAATGGCCATACTCACAAAGCCCTGTGTTGAGCTAACAGCCCTCATATCCCTGTGTGTCTCAACTAAAGAGTTAGTGAACTTCTCCCCTGCTCACTAATAGCATGAGGTCACAACTTTCCCAAAATACAACTAGAGTTTTGTGAATATGGTGTTTTTTTTGTTGTGTTGCTTTTTTTACTCTTTATCAAAGCGTGCGTGTTCCCAGACTTATTATATATTTGTATTTATTTGGGCTCACAACGTGTGGCTCATTTTGTGTCTCAAATTTAACTGGATTGTAGCCTAACAAACTAACTTAATTGTGTCCCAATGATTCCCCAATATCCTCCTTTGTGACCAGCAGCCAATACACCATCAGCACCTTTAGCACTGATGCCACCACCGCCTTCTAACACAACCCCGGTTAACGGTGTTGGTCGCCTGCAGATGAAGCTCCATCTGCATGGCCTGCAGCAAAACGCCACCGACCTACGCAAACAGCTTGGTCAGCTTCGCAAGATACAGGTATCCACAACTTAAAAAAACTGATCTTTATTTTTGTTTACTTCTAAAGATTTGTACCTTCTAATTGCCTCCATCCCCTCTGTAAAACCTCATTTAGAAAGGTCATTTTCTTTAACACATGATCCGTTTAACCTCATAAAATGTAATTTCCAACAGTCATTCTTGAACACTTTCAGGTTCTGTTGGTGGAAGCATGGTGGTTACAGCATCATGCAGGATGGCAGCTTGCATCTGACTATTTAGGGCACTCAGAAAACAAGGAATTGATGTGGCCTGGCCAAATAAGATCACTTAACATTCTTTGGACACCATGCACCAGTCTTTATACAGATAAACTGAAATGAAAATAATGACTTACAGTGAGGACAATAAGTATTTGAAAGCTTGGAAATCATGGAGGGGTCTGAAATTGTTTGTGAGAGACATAATCCAGATCCAGAAATCATAATGTATGATTTTTTAACTATTTATTTTTAATGATACAACTGCAAATAAGTAGTTAAACACCTGAGAAATCAAAATTAAAATTTGGTACATTAGCCTTTGTTTGCATTTCCAGAGGTCAAACATGTCTAGTTTTTTTACCATGTTCGCACACACTACATGAGGGATTTTGGCCCATTCCTCCACAAAGATCTTCTCTAAATCAGTCAGGTTTCTGGGCTGTCGCTGAGAAACGTTGAGTTTGAGCTCCCTCCAAAGATTTTCTATTGGGTTTAGGTCTGGTGACTGGCTTGGCCACGCCAGAACCTTGATATGCTTCTACTAGAACCACTTCTTGGTTATCCTAGCTGTGTGCTTAGGTCATTGTCATGTTGGAAGACAAAGCCTCGACCCATCTTCAATGCTCTAACTGAGGGAAGGTGATCGTTCCCCAAAATCTAACGTTGTGTAACTAATGTAGTGTAATTACTAATACCACTCTCAGAGAGAGAAGCCATAAAAAATAAACTTGATTGTAGGACAGTTGTTTTATTTGCAGAGGACAGAGACGGTTCAGTAAATACAAAACCAGAACCGTAATATAAAGACTATAGATTATTGAATATATATTCCTGTGCAGAAAGATATTGTTAAAGATCACAATTATTCATCTGCAGCGAAAGTTAAAAACTGATGGGAAGGCTGCTGCAAGCTGCTTTAGTTGGTTTAAGCTTAACTTTTCATTCTTGTTCTTTAGCATTTAGAATCCTTGTTAGTTTGTTGTTCAAAGAAATTGCAGCTGACATTTGTAAACACAGCTCTTGGCATCTGCTGGCTGACGACATGTTACCGTTATTGGAACCAACAGCTGTGTGTACTCTGCTGTCTCTCTTTGGATAGATGAATCTATTCCACATATCTTTTTATGGACCACATTTCATTTACATAAGCACTGCTTTTTCTTGCATGCCCTGTAATCCTTGGGGATTAGAGAAGAAAAAAATCTCTTTTGTCACCTTCTTGAAAAATCAAATAAGCACAATCTAAAGCTCAAGGCTTAAATCATACAATCTTAAGCAAAAGACCTAACAGTGTTTTTCAGGGGCTGTTGGAAGCTACATTAGTTTAACTTTAATCAATCAGGTTTAAAAGGAAAGAAAGCATTTTTTTTAATAATTAATCATCTTTCAAAGTGACACAGAGTCATATTCAGTTTTGTGCACATTTCAAAGCACTACCAGTGTACATTTTTAAATTTCATCAGCTACAGTACGCACCTCTCCTAAGACAGTATTCTGATGATTGTGCACTATTTGCAGTCTGCTGAAAGGTTCTAATTAACAACTTTCCAATGAGGAAGAGGCCTGTGAAAGAGTATGCTCTAAAGATTATACACAGAAATTGGCAAAGCATTTTTGGCAAAGCAAATTTACATCCTAACCAGAACAAGTGCAGGACTCAAACATTCATTGCAGTGTAAATTGCTCCAGAATAGCCCAAAGGTGCACAATGACCTCACACTCAACGGATGTAGAATTTGATGTGTAGCCAAACAGAAATGTAAAACACAACTCACCTTCATATCATGGTGTAGCAAGTAGAGCCCCTGCTCACGCTTTCTGCACTCCTTTAACTGTCTTTACCTTTGAATTTTTTTTCTGTTTAAAATTGGTCCCAAACTATCACTATTGCTGTTTCCACATCATGTTTGCTCTGAGGTTATGTTTGATCTTGATAAGTTTTGAGAGTTTCTGCCATCAGAATTTTACCTGAATTGATTCAGTTTGTGCATGTTGAATGGCTTTTCTGTTGCTTTATTTTGTGGAAATTGGCTCTCGATGTGATTTGCTAGAGAACCAAAGCAATAGAAAGTTTTTTTGTTTTTTTTTTAACTTTAAGAGTGATAATTGCCAATTACTGTAAAGCGATTGTTCTTTAATTTGTTTGATTCGCTGCTCAATTTGTTAGCCCGCTTTATGCTGAAAATTAGTTTCAGCGTAAGGTGGGCTAACAGATCTTATTCTGAAAACTATTTAAGTAATTTTTCTTGGAACCTTCAAGCCAGCCAGTAAATATGGCCAAGGTGTGGCTGGTGAAATAAAAAATAAAGTGATGTAGTTAGTTAATTTAGATTTCACATAGAATAAACTACTCTTTCCTAAGAGCCAAGCTGTTTTGGGATTTATTTTTTCTCTTCATAAATTCTATAATTAATCTGCATTTTGTATTTAATCAGGATATCTTGTCTTTTATTACAATGTTTTCATTATCTGTAACATTTCCTCGTGATAAAAACAAAAATATAATAATATATCTCGATCACACTGTAATCCAGATGTTTCAACCATTTAAACATTTTAAATTTTGTTAATAGCATCTGAAAATAAAGGCAGAATTAAAATGCAGTTAGAGAGAGCCTGGGAAAAATGCAAGGACATTTAGTCCCTCTCTCAAAACCTAAACACACGTCTTTTGAGGAAAAATACAGATTTTTTTCAAAGGTTACAATCTCCTTTTTTTTTTTTCTTAATAAGACAGGATTCAGGAAAAAAAAAAAAATCATTTCAACAGTCAAACATGATGATGCTAATGAAATACTTTATGGCCATTTTGCATATAGACCATGACTTGCTGTGTTTGATAGACACCTAAATTCTTTTCTTTTAAAAACTGTAAAGGACAGAAACCACTAAGCATCATTTTGTGACCTTAAGATCAAAAACACCTCATCACCTTATCAAAGTCTACATTTAAATCCGATTATTATAATGTGGCGTGGCCTTAAACAAGCTGTTCCGTCAAGTAAAGCCTCTAATGTGGCTTTGTTAAAAGAAGCCTTTGAAGATAAGTGGACCAGAAATTCTCCACAGTGATTTTAAAAAGACTCAATGCAAGGTATTTTAAAGTTTTAATGCCTGTAGTTGCCAGCTAGGGTGGTAAAACCGGTTATTTCTCTGATATAACTATTTCCTTGACGGTTGGAAAGATAAAAAAGGAAACAGGAAGCCTAATCATGGGATATTGTTTTCTTTGGAAAAAATACATTTTAATGTATTTTATTTGTTTAGTTTTTTTTTTTTTTTTCAGTCTAAGATCATGCTCCTATAATAGGGTTCTTACCATGGCTTTTGTACCCATCTTCATCAGAGCACCAATGTCTATGCTGTTTCCGCAGTATGCAGGCGAGATTGTGCTTTTTTTAAATAAGCACTTCAATACTGCATCTATTGTAAATAACACATGTGAGTAGATGTCCTACATTGCACATTGGAATATTTTATATGGCTGTGGTAACAGTGCTACAGTAACTGAAAAATTGCAGCGAAGTTTGCATATCGTTTTTGAGGGATACAGGTATATGAGTTATATTGGTATCTTTGCAGAGGAAATAGGAATTAAAATAGGGAGAAGGGCAGTGAGAGAATAAAAGTGTTACGGAGGTGTTTTTCATTTAACCATGATCACAAGAGTTTTTTAAAAACTTGTTAAGCAGCCAAACCATCACAGACCATCACAGACGGGATGCTTGCATATTGGTAAGTTTATTGTTTTGTTACGTATCTGCCCAAGTACATCCTCTGCACCAGGGTTACCATTGTTGCCCTAGGCTCCGGCCTTCTGCGTTAATGTTGAATAAGGCATATGAATTATCCATAGAGTCAAAGAAAAGGATGAGCAGTTCAAATTTATAAATGAGGCAGCACACTGCAAGAACAAAAACATAAATGCATATTAAATATTTTTACTAAACAATTTACCTGAATCCAGCTGCAGTAGACAGGAGTGGGGAATACAGTGTTACTCTGCATGTTAGTGATGCTGTTGTCTTGCTCGAACAGAAGGCTGATAAATTATTAATTTTTCAAGACATAGCAGGTGATTTCAGCCCAGGGTGTCAGGTTACGTGGAGTTGTCCTGCAGTATGTTGCATTCAAAACACTGACAGGGAGCTTAGTTCATGCTCTATTGATTCTGTCATCTGTATCCTTTATTTTTTTCAGAGGTTCCTTACACTAAGTTAGCAAGCTCTATAAGCATTAATATCTTATGCATATTAAAAAGTCAAACATAGAGACACAGTAATTTGAAAAAGTAAGTGGGATAATCTTGAAAGTAAATGACTGTTCCTCCTATTACTGGTGATGCCCTCTGCTGCTAGACAATTTATAACTTTATGTGCAACAAAATCCCTTGCTCTGTGAGGCTTCAGAAGTTGTCTAAGACAATTAAAGAACAAACAAACTAATGAAGACAGAGGAACACAGCAGACAGATCACAGATAAAGCTGTGGAGGAATTTAAAGCTCAAGTGTTAAACAATATCCTAAATATCCATCCATTCTTTATCTGACACGCTTAATTCCAAGCGGGGTCGCGAGGGGTGCCATCTTCAGCTGTCTATGGGCGAGAGGCGGGGTCGCCTCTGGACGGGTCGCCAGTCCAACGCAGATATCCTAAATATATTTATTTATTTTTATTTACTAATTCATAAATTCTGAACATTCATATTGTACCATGAAAACACATGTCACCCACTTTACAAAGTTAATTTAAATAAATCATATAGAGACATTGGATAAAAGTTCTCTATCTCAGGAAACCCAGCAAATTGCATTGAGTCACTGTTGAGTCAGATAGCTCATAGCTCAAGAGGAAGACTCTGTTGTCGGGAAAACTCTTCATCAATAAATCTGGCCTTTGTAGAACATGGAAAAGAACATGGCGAAAAAAGAAAAAAAAATCCAGAAAGATTGGTGAGACAAAACAAAGAATGTGGCCTAAATAGAAAGTAGTACATTAAACGAAAAACAAGTGCTGCACATTATCCTGAAAGCACCACCCTCACACTGAAACATGGAGGTGGCAGCATTGGACTGTGGGATGACTGTTTTCCACAGAGACAGGAAAGATGGTCAGAACTGAAGGGCGAAAGATTCAGCTAAGTCTTTGGTGGTCCTGCAAGATAACTTTTTAAAACCTGCTAAATGTTTGCAGGGAAATAAGAAAAAAATATTTTACAACTTCCTAGTCAAAGTCATGACTAGATGCAACTGTAATTTTCAGACTTAAAGATTGGTGTTTACCAATTTAATTAAATCTGTAACCCTGCTGTGGTTTCGAGCTGTTAGAGACAAACCTGGTAGCCAGATTAATAATGTGTAGCTCTCAGGTTTAGTTCCACACATCATCTATGGCTATACACAATGGAAAATGAATCAGCAATACATACCCTTGTTGCTCTTGCTGCTCTGCTTTCAAAAATGAAATCATTGATTAAGACAAACAGATGCAATAGTAGCAGCTAAACGTGTGCCCTCTTCCACTTCCATGTTGATTTTTGTTGGCTCGGCAGCTCTTACTATACATTTGTTTCTGCTGTATGTCCTGCCTTGAAGCATCATACTGTAATGCGATTAGCCAACCCACTTTGGAGTCATGTTAAATAGTTAAAACAAGTGTGGGATAAGATGCATTCTTGTGTGTTTCAGAATGCACAAATACTGTGAGAATTCAGCTTGCAGGCAAGGTCAGTTAGAGACACAAGAAAGCAAGTTATTTAGGATTTTTCAGTATTAAAACTTTTAAAAAAGGAAAAATAAAAGGATGCTCTCTATCATATCATCTAATATCTCCTTATAATACTATACATTTTTTATTTTTACGTCAAAATTATTGCAGAGGCTTTGGATACTTCTAGAAGGTGTTGTGCCACAGACCTGAAGGGTTGTAAGGATTACCTGTGATCCTATTAAGTTGATTTTGAATGTTTGCGTGTGCAGATGGAGAACCAGGATTCAGTGCGAACTCTGCTGAAACGGACTGAGGCCGAGCTGAATGTGCGCGTCGCGGACGCCCTGAGGAAGCAGGAGGATCCTTTGCAGAGACAGCGCCTACTAGTGGAGGAGGAAAGACTCAAGTACCTCAATGAAGAAGAACTCATCATCCAGCAGCTTCAGTCAGTCACAGTATTTTTGAAACTATAAAATGAAACAGCTTTCTTTCTAAATCCAATAACTACAGATACATGTTGTTTTTTATGTTGAAATGATGTTTGTTTGCATGTTTTTTGAGGGCAGAAGTTAGTTTCTCTGCATTTACAAGGTATGTCAGAGGAATTAAAGGTTTTTGTTCTTCAGCTCAATGATTCATATAGTGACTCAGTGATAAGAGGAAATTTAACTGTAATTAAGTATGGCAATGAGCAAGATGCTTATTAAGATCTGAGATACATGGCTGTCCAGTAACTAATTAAAGTGCCTGCAAAGATGAGAACAGAGAGCTACCTTGAGATTTAATCATCAGATACTGCAACTTGCCTCAGTTTCATATGTGGAAATGTTAAGCTCCTTATTCTTAACATATTCCTGAATAATTGGTTGAACTCTTAGAGATCTTTGCAAATCAATGCTTGTTTTTCTTCCACACAAAATGCAGCCTCCTACGTTCTTTCAATAACTGCTCTTCAATGTAAGAATTGCTCTTTGGCTCTTTCGTTTCATGTAATCAGCATTCTAATTTTATACCAGCGTAAAGTTTGTCTTTCAGATTTTAAGAGTAATACAATAAAACATGCTTTTTTTGTTTAAAATGAAAAATGAAAGACAAATGGAACCGTAAAGAAACACAGCAAAGTAAAAAGTACAGTTTTGGCCATCCAGTGCGGCTGTTAATCAGCAGCAGTATAACTAGAACTAATAAAAGGGGAGAAGGCTATCGATTTGAATAAAACTTGTTAATAAAAGAAGTAACCCTGATGTTTAGCCTTCTGTTTGTTTCATCTCAGCGATCTGGAGAAATCAGTGGAGGAGATCCAGAAGGAATCGTCTGTCAACCACAAGCTGGTGACGGTGCAGGAGCTGGAGGAGAAGGCTGCAGTTCTAAGAAAGCTGGGAGAAACACTCACCGAGCTGAAAAGTGAGTCATGCTGGCACATCCCTCCGTCTGCACCACACAACACACAAAACACTGGTTTTGTATAGTAGACAGTTAATTTTCCACTAATTACTCACTGAGAGGCTGATTATCTTTTAGTCACCCGCAGCTAGTCCGCAGTATTTAATCACTCTCACATCGCTCGTTGTCTGAATGAACTTACTGACCATTTGCAGTAGCTCAAAAAATGCTCCATTTAATTAACACAAAAGACTTTCAGCATCCTTAGGAGGTGGTTGGTTGATAAAAGCATGGCTGCTTTGTGTCCCACCTCCGCTTTTCTCCTGCAGATCAATTCCCGAGCCTGCAGAGCAAGATGCGGGTGGTGCTGCGGGTGGAGGTCGAAGCTGTGAAATTCCTTAAAGAAGAGCCACACAGACTTGATGCCCTGTTAAAACGCTGCAAGTCTATAACCGACACCCTCGCCACAATGCGCAAGTATGGACACCAGCACATTTGGGGGCTTTAGACTCACGCTCGATGGAAGAGCAGCTTATACAGTGATGTTAAAAAGTGCTTTCCCTCTCTTTTAGATTTCTATAGGTTGACATTCAAATGTTTTAACGACACTTTTATCAGATATTGACATTTCTTTAATGATCTAAACCAGAATAAATATTTGAGAAGTCAAGTACTTTTCATGTCACCAAATGCAGATAGGGATGTTTTAAATGGGTTCCACTGATATTCATTTGTTTTGAAGCAGTATTGCTCCAAACACTGAAAGGAAAAAAAACAAAAAAACATTCTCTAATCACAAAGTCAACCTGATAATTTATTTAAAGCTATTTTCAGTCACATAAATATGCTTTGTGATTTAGTGAGTAGTGAAACTGGAGACTTTCTTATCAGGTTTAGTCCTAAAAAGCTTCATTATAGTCTTAATTATTCGGTTTTAATCTTTTTCCCTCTCAAAATTAGACGAGCGTTTCATAAACTCGGCCGATTAGTTTTTTTTCTTCTTTGTTTTTCCAGGCAAGCAAATGATGGGGTTTGGAAAAAGCAGGACAACTTTTCAAATCCCTCAGCAAAGCACAATGATGACTTACAAAAGTTTTCAGGCTTTGACATCCCCAGCAGCCCTCCATTAACCATCAATGATATTGGAGGAGGTAACAGCCTGTCTAACTGGAGTCCGCACTCCAGCCTCAGCCGTGGTCTCGGAAACCCGTCCGGTTCTCACAAGGACAATCATCCTCCTATTCCCCACAAAGGAAAAGCCCTTGAGGAACTGGAGCGCCGTGCTGCCGCTGACAAAGCTTTGTCAATGGAAGTCCGACTAGTAAGACTAATTTTTATTTAAAAAAAGAAATGCTTTAACCTACCTACCCCCACTATACTAGTAGTGCTACAATTAAGCTAATATACCCTAATAATTTTGACACAGAGACTACTATGCATATGGGGTCATAATAATACTCAACAACACAAAAGACAGCAACAGCTGAATTTAACTTTCCAATAAATAAATACATACATATCTGCACCTTAAAGCAAGGATAACATTCCAGGAGGGTAAAAAGCACCCACACCTCAAACTTCCTCATAAAAATAGGTTGATTAGGATATACCAAAGCCTTGAGTTGTTAGGGGTTAATTTGAATCCAAATATGTACTTTTCATGTTGTTAAAGAATAATTTTGCCGCATTCAGTGTTGATGAGGTTGAGAAGAAATATGAAAGACATGCTGTGACCCTTAGATCTTGGCATGTTATTTTCCTGTAGTTAAGGGCACCTAAACCTACTTGCAACTACACCCTTGGTTTATCATTTCACATTGATTAGTAGGACATCACAAATATTTAGGAATTTGATTCTTTTAGACTACACACGCTAAGATATGCTATGTGCCAGGTTAAAATATTGTACAATATTGAACAGAAAATACCTCTTATGCTGCAGATGATAATACTGATAATTTCGGAGTAAACCTAATCATTTTCAGCATTTTTTAAAAATCTTTTTTAAGTGACACGTAAAAAAAAAAAAAAAAGTTTTGGTTGAACAACTATTAGTACAAATTATGATATTTATTGAGACAGGTTTATTTGTTATCTTGGTTGCACATGCTTATATTTGCAATTTGATTGGAAAAACAATGATTCTGCAAAAAAACTAACAAAAAAACCCCCGAAAAATAACTCTTTGGCAAATACCAAGATTGCAGTAGCTGCAGAGTTGTCTTCACACTCAAATGAGCTTTACCCAATTCCTGGAATCCAGAAAGACTTGGAGAACTGATTGCCATCTGGCAGTCCTAATCTGATGTGACACCGCCATACTGGTTGCTATCCTTCACTTTGCAGGCAGCAGAGCGGGACTGGGAGGAAAAGCGTGCCAGTCTTACACAGTACAGTGCTCAGGACATCAACCGCTTGCTGGAGGAGACCCAAGCTGAACTGATGAAGGCTATTCCAGACCTGGACTTTGCTGCCAAGCAGATCAAGCCCTCCTCCAACACCCCATCGGCCCAGACCCCTCAGAGTGGGGCGACAACAACGGAGCACCGCTCTAGCAAGCCACAAAACAAGCTTTCAGCTAAAGAGGGGGGGTCCAGGCGTGGCTCTGGTAAGTCAGGAAGTCATAATCTTTGGTCACATTTAAACCATTCTGACCCATTTTTGTAAAACTTTCAGCATCTTGTTTTGTTTCTTTTATTTTTTTTATATTTTCCCAGATGAGTTGACAGTACCACGGTATCGCACAGAAAAACCCTCCAAGTCTCCTCCCCCTCCTCCACCTAGACGTAGTTTCCCTTCGTCTCCAGGTGTGACTTCTCGCAGTGGAGAGCCCTTAATTCCTGGAAAAAGCATAAAGGTGCCAAACGATCTACAAATCAGCAGAATCGTTCCTCAAAATGTTCTGCAAATTCATGAAAACTGGTGGTTTGTTGAATGTTTTGGGTGAACAAACCCTTTCCAGACATGTGGCTTTAGATCATGTTTAATCATTTTGTTTTCTTAGAAATCCGAATCCGAAGAGAATGACACCCAAAAGCCACACACGAAACTGAGGAGGACCATGTCTGAAAACCCTCGTCCTGCATCTACACCCCCCACGCTAGCCTCCGGAGAGAAGGAGCAAGGAGAGGAGGAAAAAATTGCTGCTGAACTTGAGGTAAATGAAACATGGACTGCACATCAATTGAGTTACATTATGATGGTAATAATGTTGGCCGACTGATGGCAAAAACTGCACTTTATAGTTATAAATGTTCCTTCCACAATGCGTCAGTGGATTCCAAGAGCACATACACACTCAAAGGGCGATACGCTCATCATCATTACCACATGTTCAAGCAGCAGGTGCCATATGCCCCCCTTGCCCCTGGCACCAAGAAAGCCCAAAGATCGCATAATGCTCAGTCGCACACACATAACCCAGAACTAACAGGTCGACAGATGGACCCTGAGAGCTGTGTGTTCTGTGTTTAAGATGGCCTGCCAGAAAATATGAAGCAACAAACTCTCAATAATAACTGAATTGGATTTGTCAGTGGCTGTTGTTTTGTTTCCTTGACATTTGCTTAACCTTCGTTTTGCCTCCCCAGCTGTTTGAGAGAGCCCCAGTCAGGCTCTCTCGCCCCACTTCGCTTTTTCTCCCTGCTAGCCCACACATCAGGAAAATCCCTTCCCCCTCCAGGCTACACCTGTCACCTCCTGAGGCCTCTTCTGAGGTAACACTCTGGCTGACCAGGAGCAGTCTGGATTGTTCCCTTGCGTCTCTTTTACTTCTTAACTACCTTCACTGTAACTACTTCTCTGTTTTTGACCGCATGGACTTTCAAAATGCTTGATTTAAGCCTCATGGCTACACAACTGCTGCCGACCTCTTTTTGACATTTATTTACTTGCAGATTTTATTATAGGGACAAAAAAGAAACATTTTGCAAAGGCATTCTTTCCATTAGAGGGATAACTTATTATTATGCATGACCGTTCACTAATGGTATTTACCAGGTTGTCCCATAGTTTATCTTAAGAAATCACATATTTGTGTTACAAAATAATACTGTATAACACCCAAACTAAGGTTAGTGGGCCTCATGCAAGAACGTGTTTGCAAGAACAGATTTGTTTGTAAGAGGGATTAAGAGAGGACCTTAAAGAACTTTAAATGGATGGGAGAGGCTGTTCAAAAAGTAGAAGAGAATGATTGCTTTATCTGTGCATCCAGCACAGATAGACAACATTTTGGTGCTTCCAGTTAATGTAGAACCAGTATTTTTTTAAAACAGGCACTTAAATAAAATAAAATGTATATTTTGATTGCATTTTTCACTTTGTATGCATAGCAAATACGATAAAAGAGATTATTTTATTCAGCTAAATGCAGAGGGAGTTCTTAGCAGCTGAATGGGCTGCATGACTTTCAAACACTTTGTATAAGAAAGGTGGGAAGAAAGTTAAAAATGTAATTATACACAAAGGGATGGAGTCTAAGTTTTCTGTTTACAGCAACCTTCTATATTTGCTATGATTGGATTTAGAGCAAACAAGCTTATTCTGTGTTTTACCTGTTTTTCCATGCATGCATAGGGTCTCAAACCTAATCACACATGTATGCTCCTAATCTATAAATACATACATGTGCATAAAAAATGTGCCTTTCCTTCATAACTTTCACGTTTGTACAGTTTGGATTACAGTTTTGCTAGAAGTTTAACTAGTTCATGTGTCTATATTTATGCAGAAAGTGCTTTTTTTATTTATAGGGAAGGAACTTTTCTGCGATCCCCCACATCCTGTTGACAGAGTGTTTGCCAGACTCACTCACTGCTGCAGAAAATCCTGTCAGAGATTTAGCAAATTACCCTGCACAAAATAATCCAACGCACAATTCCAGGGATCAACATATGGTCCAGAAAAAAGATATTTTAAGGGGAACGCCTACAGAAAGAAGTAAACCTGGTTCCCAACAGGACCAAGATATATACCTGCTTCTCACAGACCTGGAGATGAGATGGGTGTTACCTCACGAAGCTCAGGAACTGAAGAATATAGTACATAAAACTTTAAATATCTCAGCGCAGATTGAAGAGGTTTCTGTAGCAGAGCTGGATGAACGGCCTGTTCTAATGCATTTCAGAAAGGGAAATAGTCTTAAAGATACATACAGACTGCTTTATTCCCTTCTGGAGTCATCCAATCCAACCCCCCAAAGGAGATTAAGATCCTCCCATCAATCCCTACAGCAGCCCCCTTTCATGGAGGCTCTAAGGAAAGGGATTGAGACAGGGGAGGATGTGCTAACATTTCAACATGCAGATGAAGTTAGGATGGAGCCCTGTAATTGGGATTTATCCAGTCAAAGGAGAATCACCCAGGAGCTCCGACTGAGCACCTACCAAAGACTGGACAGTTTGGAGGAGACCATCCGAGAGCTGGAGAACACTGTAATAGAGATCAGTGGTCACTCTATGACAGAAGGGCTCTACACAGAGACAGAGGTGGCCCTCATGAGCGTTCCAGCCAAGCGGACTGGGAGTCTGAAGTCGGAGACCAAGAGGCCACCGGTTCCACCCAAACCGGCATCAATTCAGGTTCAATATTTGTTGCTGCTGCTGTATTAATCTCCCGCTCCTCAAGTAGCTTGCTCTATTTTTCCTTCTTCTCTGCAGATGAAAACTGGAACTTCCCTTTCAAGCCTCTGATGTCTGCTCCCTGAGCGTTTCTACATCCAATTTATATAAGATCAAATGCATATACAGGCGACAGACAACAGACTCCTTATCTTTTTCTATATTCTGTGCTTCAATCTGGAGCTGCTCTCCTTCTGAGCCCAGTTTCAGTGATTATTTCCTACCAATCTATTCCGACAGTCGCTCATTCCGTCTCCTGTTAAATATATGCAAAGATAATGGCTGAACAGTGTTATTTCTAAGATTTTTTTCAAATATATTTTTTGCTTATCAGCTCTCCATGAAATTAGCTTCCTCAGCCTCCAGGAAAACAGTTAACAATACCATCGTTTGAATTTTTAACCAACCTTTAGGGTATATTTTACATTTTACTAAATGCATTATTAAAGCATTCTACTACACATGCAATAAGATTGTTTTGTACTGTTACTTAGGGTTTTTCTTACTAGGGTTGTTTATTATTGTTATTGTGGAGAGGAGTCAGACTTTTTGGCGATGTAACAATCTACAGTGCTTCAGATATAATGAGAAGCCCCTTTTCATCTCACCTTTAGTTGACCGCAAAGCAACAAAAGCTTAGCAATTAGCAAAATGTTTAAAGCATTCCTAATCAGCTGTCTTCTTGTCGCGATGACATGACAGTTTGCGTAGTATTGACTCTGGCCTGGAATGCATCCTCCCACTGTAATACTTGACAGTCGCTGTCATACTGAGTTTCAGCCCTCTGATGTGGAGCCATGGAGCGTTCCTGTGGGAATGGCTGAGGATTACAGAGTCTTCACACATTATTTCATCACTCCAGCTTCAATCACCATCATTTCAACCGACCCTTCTTCCTACTATGGTCCAAAATGTGCTGCAAACTAAATTCAGACAAGAAGTCTCTTTTCTTGTCCAATTGTGGTTCACAGTCCCCCCAAAAACGACAAGGCTTTACAAAACAGATGGAAGATTTACTGGGTTTTTACATTAAACAATAAGTTTAATACGCTTATCTGTCGTTTGCTAATCTAGAGTCTTCATACCTCTTGATCCATTTTTTTTTATGTCAGAACAAAAACAAGAATATAGGCCTAGTTCAATAAAGTGAAAGGAATGTATGAATGTTTTTAACATTTCTACAAATTTGAACTTGAAAGGTGTGTCATGCATTTGTATTCCTCCTGTCTTTGGTACTGATATGCTTATATAAAATCCTTAAATAAAAACTGCTCTCCATTTCATTGCTGATTTGTAAAGGCCCCAGATGTTTAAGAACATTATCACAGGTCGGGGATAAGTTAAGGTACATAAAGCAGGGGTAAAACAAGGTACTCTTCACAGAAGCAACAGAAATTCAATTCAATTCAATTCAGTTTATTTATATAGCGCCAAATTCACAACACAGGTCATCTCAAGGCACTTTACAGTTCAACCAGATCATACAGTCAAAATCAGAAATGATCATACAGTCAGAAATGTTGATTTGTGGTCTAAACACATAATGGTGTCAAGAAAAACAAACTCTTTCTATGTCACTATGGTTGCCCAATTTCCAGAATAAAACATGGTGGTGAAAGCATCATAATGTGGAGCTGCTTTTTTCCAAACCAAAAAAGAAAATTAACTGACATGGACTGACTAAGCTCAGAAAATAAATCTGATCAAAGATGCATTTAATCAATTTTTCCAGCTTTATTTATTTTGCAGAAAGAGTAGGTTACATTTTAATTATCCTGATTTGCAAAGCTCGCAGACACACTCCATCAGGATTTGTTGCTCGCCTTCCACAGAAAGATTTTATGTAAGGTTTTATCAGCAGGGAGCTGAAAATAAATGGATGCCACACTTTTCAGATTCATATTTTTACGATATATTTGGAACATAATTTTCCTTCTAATTCAAAATGAATTTGAATTAGAAGTTCGTCAACTTCATGGAAGTTCACCTGAGTTCTAATTCAAAATGAATTAGAAGAATTAATCTGTTTTGCTGGGTTAGCAGTTGGCGGTTTTACAGTCAGGGTAATTTAAAAAGTTCAAGGTATTTGGTAGGCACTTTAATCTTTTTTTGGTTGACTTTATGTGCAGAAGAGCCACAGCTTGATGGAAATGTAGCTGAATGTGTATTTCCTTTTGTTTTTATTAGAGGCGGTGGATTGAGTAGCTCAGTGGGAAAGGTCATTAAGCTCAGTGGTTTGGGGCTCTTGCTGTGAAGCTATATCACGTAGTGTCTTTTTTAGTGCAACACCTCATTCTCTGTGGATGGAGGGTGAATTTTAGTCAGGTTCACACTTTTACTTTTATACCAGGTATCTTCTTATATCTATAAAAAAAAGCTTTGCATTCTTTTTAGACTGGCTTGTATTGTTTAGTTCACCTTTTATTATGTAAATCTTGATTTGTGGTAGAAGTTGAAGATACTCTAGAGGGAAAGTGAGCTGTAGATTGAGGGGCTCCATATTTAATCTATTCTCTGTTCTATTTTTTCCTCTCTGTTGTTTTTCTCTCAGGGAGGGAATAATCCCAGCATAGGAAAAGTTCATTCCTCAGCTGCCTCAAAACTGAAGCATCTGCAGCAGAACAGCACAGAGAAGACTAAAAGTGGCAAGAAGGAGGATTTACAGAAGGCACAGAGCCTCCAACAGGTAACAGTTTACAATTAGCTCTGATAAGAGTAAACAATGTGTGATCTGTCAAAGTCATCATCTGAGCTTCATCATAACAGCCTACAAGCATTTGTCATATGGATTACTTTCAAACTAAAAATTAGAATTAAAAGCCTTTTAAAGACAAATTTAAGGATGTTGGTATTAACTAGAACTTCTCTACACAACTTGATAAAGTCTTTTAAAGTTTTATTTTAAATAATTTGGGCATATATTTCTGAAAACCATTGCTTAATTTACTTTACAGGATTAAATATATCTTGTCCTAGTTTCTTAATAATCATTTCATCATCTCTACTTAACTGTTGCATGTCGCCGTGGCATCCTTCACCCTATAGAGGATATGACTTTATATGATAGTTTTTACGGGGATTAGATGATTTAAAAGCCACTTTTTGGTGAAATTGAATAAATGTTCAAGACTGCTGTACTGCCGATTATCTGACAGAGTTGCTGGATGAAATACATTATTATTTACATATTGGGATATATATATATATATATATATATATATATATATATATATATATATATATATATATATATATATATATTCAAATTTCTTAATGTCTGACTTTTTAATCAAAACTCAACGAATAGTTCTTATTATTAACAACAGAAACAGATTTTCAACCAAAACCCCAAAGAAAACACATATTATGAAAGTTGTACATTGTTTAACACATCAGTGAAACACATACAGTATCATTAAAAAAAGGATTTGCCTGCTAACAGATTTCTTTAATTTCCAAATGAAGCTTTCATTTATTAAAGGGAAAATCCATCAAAAGCAGCCCAGCCTTGTGTGAAAAATAAGTAATGAACTCCTAACTCTAATAATTGGCTGTCACCCTAAGTGGCATCGAGTTGCTATAAATGGCAATAAGTCATATGCATATCTGTGGATACATTTGGGTGACTGTTACTTCATTCTAATTAGGGGTACCATGAGCTGACTGTTTTAGGGCAAGTAAATGCAAGCACAAAAACTGCTAGCTAGACGTTTTGCTTACAGAGCAATAAAGAGCAGAGTTTATGGTTCTATAGATCGGGGCAGGTCATCCAGGTGTTGATGCAGCAAGGCAGCCCCAGACCATGACACTACCACTTGTCTACAGGTGTAATGTTCTCTTTCTGAAATTCGGTGTTAGTTTATGTGCAGATCTAGTTCCAAAGAGTTCTGCTTTTCCTTAGTTTATTGAGAATCATAAAGGGGTTTTGGTAAATGTGGTCCCGGAGTTGGAACCGTCCCATATATGTTCTGCTAGTCCACGTCCAGACTTTCTGTTGTTGTTCAGTCATGAACTTTGATCTTGACTGCGAAAAATAAACAGGTTTACAATGTCTCAGATGTCGTTCTGAAATATTAATCGGCTTCCTGGATTATTATTAAGGACAATTTTATCGGCCTATTAAGGTAGATCCAGGGTAGTTTCGAAGTCTTCTCTCTAATAAAATCATATCAAAACTGCATTTTGAGTTTACATGTTTAAATTTATTTCTATTAATGTTGTATTTAGGGATAAAATTGGATTAATTGTGAATAATGGATTATTGAAATAATCGTCAACTAATTCAGTAATCATCAATCATTAACTGGAGTATGGATTCTAAACCCAATTACAGCAGTATTTTTAACAAAATTGTTAAAGAATATATAAATATTTTTTTATTATTATTTAAGATTAAAAAACAAACCTTTCTCCTCTCACAATACGCTCTATCCAGAACTCCTCAAGTCAAAAAGTTTTAGTTTCCCCTGGTTTTATTCTGTATATAATCTTCTTTAAGAAACCTTTGGCTATCTGATTATTAATCACATAATTAAAAAAAAAATTGTCCAATTTATTATCAAAATAATCGATACTTGCAGCCTTAGATGTATTATGATATAAAAATTTTAAATAGGACCAAAATTAAAAAAGGAAACTATAACTGCAATTCTAGTACAGTCCAAAATCTGTCCTCGAGGGTGGTGTCCTATAGGTTATCAATATTTTTCAGCTTCATCACAGCTGATTCAGTGATTGTAGTTCAGAAAATCCCTGGTTATCAGCTGTCAATGGAAATCAACTAGTGTTGCGCCAATGCCATTTTTTTGGGCCCCCGATACCGATACCAGATACCTGGCTGTGCAGTATTGGCCGATACCGATACCGTACCAATACCATCTGTTTGAAATTGATGTGTATGTGTATATATGAAGAACTGCATACTACTTGGATGTAAAATACTTGCCATCATGGCTTTGTCAAGCTGCTGCCTACCTTTGAGAAGCAGAAAAAAGATTAATACAAAGTGAATCCAATAGAACTCCTGGAATGGGTGACAATAGTTGAATAAACTTTTGGCTCTCAAAATATTATGGATGCTTTATTTGTCGGCATCGCCGATGTCGATACCTCTATTTTAGTGCATCGTGCCCGGCCCAATACTGGTATCGGTATTGGTGCAACACTAAAACCAACTGTGCAGGAAAAGCTGTAAAACCTGCAGGATGGCGGCCCTCAAAGACCGACTTTGGACATGACTGTTCTAATAAAACATGACTTAGTACTTTATGGTGAAGCCAGTGTTTTTAGGTGCCGCAAAAACACTTTTTAACCAGCTTTGTTCACTTTTCTAGAGAGATTTGGACCCTCAGATCCGAACCTGCTATTTTATTACACACTTCTAGATATTCCTTCGTTTTTTTGGCTGTATTTTCTTGGACGTTGTTGTGATGGAATGCCATTCGTCAGAATTAATGCTGAGAGAAGAAGGTGCTTCCTAGTACTTTAAAAGTAGTTGACCACATATTGTCTTTATATAAAGAATAATTTTTTTTTCTCTCCTTTAAAGAACTTTTATTTTTCCCAACTGATCTCAGTAACTTTCTCTAAGTCATTTAGATGTTTTGGGAAACATATTAGACCAAGAACGCTATTTGGCAAAGAAATTCAAGATTTTCATAAAGTTTGTTCTGATCTAGTGTCTTTTCTTTGTCAACTGGTCCCCTTTGGTTGAAGAAAATAAAAAACATCCTTTACTCAAAGACACAAACATCTTAGGTACTTATTGAATGAGTTTCATAATCTGCCTTTCAACTTTAGCCAAATAACTAAAGACATTTTCTACAGTGCCACAGTTTCTACCACTGCTGGGCTGCTATGAAGGGGTGAAAACAATAAGAGTAGAAGAGGATTTTTTATACCCTTATAAAGCTCTTAATATTAATATGTTCCCCATACGTTGCTCAATAGTTGGCCCTACAGGGTTTTTCGTTTTCGTATTTAACTTGTTAGCATTTAAAGAGGTGATGTAAAGTAAAAGGCTGAACATAAGGATGCTAGATGGTCTCCAGAGGCAAGGAAATTAAACTGCTGAAGCATGTCGGTCGAGCAAAGCCAGGAGAAGATTCTTGCCAATGCACAGGGGCAAGAAAAGCTTAATGTCGATGTAATTTGAAAAATAACAGACGCAGTGAAGTGCACCTAAACCTTCATAACCTAGAGCACTTTCAGACTCATAGTAAGTTTTTTAGATTGCAGAGAAATGAGCGTGTTTGGCTGAGAAAGAGAGGGAGAGATTTGGGAGATGGCAAAGTAATGAGGCTTTGGTCTCCTCAGACTGAGGGAAGATTGGGAAGAACCGCTGTGGTGCCATTATAACCGCCACTCCAGTCCCTGGCAATCACAGATGATTTAATATGAAGAGGGCATCTCACTTTCTGTCATTAAATCTTTTTACGTTTTTCCCCCTTTATGTCATTTTCCCCTTTCTCTGCTTCCTGTACTCTGCAATTTATCCATGTCTCCCTTTTTTCCCCTTTTCACCACCCTTTGTTGGTTCTGTTCATTCCCTGAAATTTGAAGGCTGAGTAGATGCTTACAATGGTCAAATGAAAGGGAAATTAATCCCATTATTTCAGAATGACTCTGACGCTGCACAGTCTATTTTGTGCACAAACTGTTCAAAACAGCTATTCCTCCGGGTGTGTGAAAGCAATATCCTCAGAGGGCTTCAGACCCTCAAACAGTCAGAGGAGAAGAAATGGAGCTGCAGCAGTTTACATACAAGTAGGCAAGAAATACATTTTCAATAATAAAAGAAATAAGGAGAAAATTTATTTAAACCAGGGAAGGAAAAAAAATACACTGTGACGGACTATTAATTACTGATTTTTTTTTGTACTGAAACACAAAGCAGTCTGAGGATAAAGTAAGGATTGTTGCATTAAGGGAGCACAAAGCTTTGTTGAGGAAAATGATGCACCATATTTATTAAAGTACTGCAGCTGTATGAGGCTGTATTTTCATTTAAACCTGAATTATTTTCTTCTTCACTTTTTTCCTCTCTGTAGAGCAACCCTCTGAGGTAAATCTGTCTATCAAAATTTTAACTCAATAAAAAAAACATCTGTGCATGGACGAGTTGATTACTAGGAGCTGATGAAATGACGCACTACATGGTAAATGTCAAACTGGATTTCTATGGCAACAGTTTTTATTAAGCTTAGCTTGATTTCTTTATTTATCTATGATAGAAAGCAAAATATGAGAAAAAAGACAAAAAGTTATTTTAATTTTTAAAGGGTATCATTTTGCAGTAGTTCAAAATTTGCATTTTAAATGTTGTTTACAGTTAAAATTACAAATCAGTACCAACTAAAACAATTTCTAGTTGTATTACCTACAACAAATATGCTAAAATGTTTAGCCTCTTACACCCTAAGGGGGTATAAATAAATTTCTGCCTGACAAAAACACACAAAAGTAAATAACTTATAGCCTCAAAGCTATTAGATTTAAGAAGAAACTTTTGGTACGTCTTTAAAGGTAAGATGTCATAGAATGGTTTTCTGGTGTCAGCACCATTGTAGCTTTGACCCTGCCTGAAATATTAGGGACAAAATACAAAATATTTTGCATTTTTTGAACCTCGCCAAACTTTTCTTTGAAATAAACATTGCAAAACACTACCAAAATATTATTTATAGCACAAAAAAGTAGTACAGACTTTCAAATCTAAATGTTGTGTAAAAATATACCAAATTTGGACTCAATCAGATTAATCATATTTATTTTAGAATGGTATTAGTGAGAAATTTCTTAGGCGGAGAGGCCATTTTGGCACATTTATCCATAAATGTCACCAAACTGTGCCAAATATGTTTTTTACATCAATACTGGGGGTTTGGTAAACTACGAGGTCATGTAGCAGCTGGACCCGCCGGTGGGTCCGTAGGGTTCAAGGGGTTAAAAGCACCCTTTCTAATGGTTCCCAACACCGATTTGAAAAAAGCCTTTAAAATTACTGCTGTTGCATATATTGGTGTATAACAATTTTATCTAACGTAAGGAATGTGAACTATTTTTGTTATTCAAATTCACTCTTTTTAAAATTATCTGAGCTTTTAAGGATCATCAGTTAGTAGTCCATCCCTCCCTGCTTCCCTGGGATTTAATGCATGTGATGGAACACAAAGTACTCCTAAAAATGAAACTTAGGTAAATAAAGAAGATGGGAAAGTTGGTAAAAAAAAAAAAAAAAGGGTTTTCAGAGCTTTTTATTAGATAACTCCAAATATGTTGTTGGGAACACTAACAAAGACATTTTGAACCATGGGCTTAAAACAGGTTAGGCTAACATTTTGAATACACTTGTCCGTATCCGACATAAAGCAAAGGATGAATATGTAGATGTTGGAGGACCTGTGATGCTGTGGGCCGGAAAACTGCATTCAAGGTTTTATAAACACTTACAAATCCGGGACATTGAAATAAAAACCATGAAAGTCTACCTAAGAAAAATTAAAATAGATACTCAGTACATGATTTGCATGATGATGCAAAACGGCCAGATCCGTGTCGGCCATCTTAGTCCCCTGAACTAAATCAATTCAGAAAACTTGCAGCGTAAACTTCATAGGAGAGGGAATAACAGGATACTCAGGACTCTAGATTATCTAGAAATAATTTGCAAAGAGGAAAGATCTCTATGTTCTGAAGTACTTGATGCCGCAAGAACCAAATTTCTCTTAATTTTTTCCCCCCAACTGAATAAACACACTAAAATAATGGGAGAGTTTTAAGGTGGGATTATTTATCTAGAAAAAATAAGTTATTTTAAAAGGTTTAACATCCCAGGATGCAACATTAACTGAGGCTCTTTTCCCTTATAAGCTCCTTATATTTTTACTAAAGCATTTCAGACATGAGGACCAACCAAAGCTCCTTTTTCTCCATGTTGGCTTTTCCACAAATGAAGGGATCAATGCAAAGATCACTGTCATATGTTAAACCTTTCAAGTCTCCATTTGCAGCACTAAATCAGGTCAGCTGTAGGTGACGAGAAGAGGTGGAGATAGTGGTGTTATATTATTCTTGGGTGTGAATCTGTCAGTGTGTTTATAGTAGGGAAAACTCATAGACCAGAATAACAGTATGAGTCAGGTTTGAGAAGAGTGTTCCTAGCACACTGTACTGGAGTAAATGCAAACCTTTCAGCTATATATATTTCACACAACAAAAGTTTTTACATTTTCTTTCCCTTTGCTCTTTTCAAAAATGCCAAAACTTTCCTGACTAAACTTACTTTTTGTGTCCCAGTATATGTGTTCTGAAGAGTGTTTGTCTTGCTCCTACAGCATGCAAAGGGTGTCTGTCACATACATTCACATCAGAGCCTGAGAAACAGTCATCTTGAAAATGTTATTTCCCACAAGTTTCATTCTGTTGAAACAGTGCCATCTACTGGCTGAGTCTTCCATTATTAAAAGAAATAAAGGTGTGGCTCTGTATGTTCATCTTAGTATGTTGTTTTTTTTTTTCAACGAATGAACATCATAAAAAAATGTTATAGTAATAGTAGTCAACAGTGTAATATTCTGTCTGTCACTGTTGCACCTTATCAGTGGGATCAGTGGTTCTGTCATCATGTACAGATGCTAGCCTCTGTATTGGCTTTCATCACACATGCTGATATCAACCTAAATAACAATCTCCTGTGTTTGTCTCCTGTTCTCACTCCCCCTCCCCTCCACTGTATGTTTTCTTCTGATACTCCATCAATCCCCTTGTGTGAACCTGTGCTGCCCCTCACCTCCTGACTGGCATGTCTGCTGCACCTATAACCCAACAGCAGTGAGCGACCCGTCCCCGCCCAGCCTCTTCAGCTTCCTCCACCTCCTGTTCACGTGACTAAAGAGATGCACTCTTGTCTGCCTGCTTTACTTAACCAGCTCCTTTGACATCATTAGTATTCAATCCAAAATGATGCTTCTAGATGGGTGTGAATGTTTGTTTTTTTGTGCAAGCAAGCTTGCACAGGTGTGTTTGAATATGCCGACGGGATGATGCTGCAGGTAGCACTGCAGCCACAAACCATCTTAGGGATTTTCTTTACACCTTTTTCAATTTTTCATAATTTCAACCCCCTGAAAACCTCATCTCTTTGCGCTCCTCCTCCACCCCTTTCTGTCTTTTTGTCCCTGCTCTACTCCAAGGCCTTGGGGATCAACAAGGGAACCGCCGAACCATACCTGTCTGGACTGAAAGCAAGTATTTTTTTAGGCCGGATGCCTTCTCCTTCTGCAGCCTTTGCACCTGGCTTGAGAATGTCCCCCCACGAGGGGACCGCACCCTCCCTGACAGTCTCCTCCAGCCAAGCAAAAGCCCTACTGGCAAGCCTGTCAGCCTCTGGCCTGTGCACTGAAGCCCTGCTCCTGTCCTCCGCTCTGCGTCAACGCCGCCTTCTCCGGGAGCAGAAAGCATCATCCTCTCTTCCCAATAGCTTGTCCTCCACCCCCACATCCTCCTCTTCCCCCACAACCCCTACTCCATCCCTGTCTCCCTCCTCTCCCACACCGCTCGGTAACTTTACCTTCTCCTCTATGGTTGTCAAACCCACCAGAGGAAGATCTGACAGCCCCCAACTGCTCAGCAGCCGTAAGGATGGTGACAGCTCCTAATGTAAGGAGGAGGACATGGACAAATACAAATCCAAAATTATCTTTATATAGAAAAAAATCTTTTTTTCGAGATATTTTCTTTCAGGATTTCTTATATCCACTTTTTTTTCGTGCTGATGTAGAAAGCAACAGACTCTGAGTTCATCATAATTCTCTCAGTTTTCTTCTTGGACAATTGTCCTTCTCTCGTCTGGTTCCACGGTCTCCCACACAGTCCCACTGCCAGATTCCCAAACAGAATGCACACAAACATGCCAACCCTCCCTTTCCCACCAGCTGTCTGCTACAAGGTTAGTGTGGTCGAACACGTTCTCATTTCATGGGCTGTTTGTGGTATCGTTTTCATATCTAGACTGTGGTTATGAAAATAGAGTTGCAATAATAGCCGAGTGAGTCGGATAGTTCTATATGTTTAGGATGATGTTGCTCTTTCTTACCTGCCTAATCTGATAGAAAAGCTCTTCTCAGAAAATATTTACAAAAGCCAGATGAGATGAATGTGGTTTGAGCTGTTTGTACAAAAAGGACACTCTTTTCTTTTTTGCATCAGCCACATTTTTAAACTTCCAATCGGTGCTATATTTTCCCTTCATTTGTGCACAATAAGAGTTTACATGATTGTTCATCCCCTTTGCACATTACTCTGGGTTCTAATTTAATGTTGCATTTTAAACCTTTGTATGCATCTCTGTAAATGAAAACATTGCATCTGGTATTGCATTTATGGCATCTTTAAAGCGAAGGAAACAAGGATATTGCAGCATTATTCATGAAAGCACACTGCATTAAGCAGCCATGACACTAAGAAACTCTGTTTAATACAGAACATTTCTGCAAAATTACACTAAAAGAAAGAAAATTAGAAAAGGAGGTTGTGTATAACCCATGTGGATTTACTGTATGAGTGTTGTGACTTGTTGTTTATGACAATCAGGGTGTTTTCACCGTAGCATCTCGCAGGTCGCTCTGACATCCAAAACCCATCCCAAAGACTCAAGCACGCACCTGTAAAGCTAAGCTGTACAGCACTGACATAATGTGTGTGTTTTTATTTTATCTTTTAAATCCTATACGACCAGATATGTTATGATGCACCTGGGGTTGAAATGGACCACAGTGACTGGAATATTTCACCCATAAGAATCATATTAATGTTCCTTTAAAAAGCGCCCAGATTTTATCATAGTTTATATGTTTTCATTAACTCTAGTGAAAATTGTATATGTATTAAAAATAACTTTTCAATAGCACAGGTTTATATATCATATATTCCCCCTTATGAGGGAATCAGGGCATCATAAATATGTAGAGAAAGCACAGTTTCCCCCCTGAAAACAAAATAACAAGATACCCCTTAAATAACTTAATTATTACATAGGTTAGGAGGCAGTGCAATTTTCAAATATAAAAAATCGTGCAATGACAGAAAAGAAAAATGGAAATTTTCAACCTAGAACTAGCGTTAACTGTAAGTAAACAAGTATATTGAAATAAGCTAGAATGATACTGTAAGATAATTAATTCAGTCATTCAGTTAAAGTAGAGAAACGCATTAAAAGAGGATACACATTAACACAGTGTGAAAAAAATCTATTATTTCTGTTAATTTTGGCTTACAATGGTTGAAAAAAAAACAACAAAAATTTTTCTTTTTTATTTTAAAGATGTTTATGTTATGATCATTTTATAATCCTGCAGTCATGGGAAAAACTGCTGACACAAAATCTGGCTGTTCAGAGAGTGCCATTATTATGCACACAGTACTAATGGAAAATTGATTGGACGGAAAACCTGCTTTAAAACAAGTGTAGAGGCAAAGATGATTTATGAGCTATACAGATATTCACAAGACATATCTGGGATGAGTCAATCAAATCCAGATCCTCTAATCTGTGCCAAGGAGAACAATTGACCTGGCTGGGTTTTTTTTTTTTTTTGGTCCTAAGCTCTCTTTGTGTAAGTTAGTTCAGTGTGCAGTTGTCCAGTCCGAATCATCTGCTGTAGCAGAACATTTATGTGTGCCCTGAGTTATTTATTTCTTTTTTAGGTTTTGTTTAATTAGCTGTAAGCAATACACCAAGACTAACAGAATTATACATTTGAAATATATTACACACTTTTCTTAAATTTCATATTTCCGTGGAATTGCTGAACCATATTCACTTTTTCATGATATTATACATTTAGATGGGCCTGTTGGGCATTTGCACACCGATGTCAGAAATTTAAATCATGCTAACTGAAGGAAAGAGTCCTGATTGTAATTGGTCTGTCACAGTCTTACAGAAAACTGTTTACTTGGTGCAGTCATTAATCCATCATTACTTTAAATAAAGATTCAACATGTGAAATGTTTGCAAAAAAAAACAAAAACATATTAGTTCCACTAATGGTTACTCTGGCAACATATCTAATGCCAACAAGCTATTTTAAACTCAATCTAAGATTCTTTATTATTTGTAATTTCAACAATTATGTTTACTTATTTTGCTCTGGCTCAACATTTTTAAAAAATGTCACCTAATGAACTGGACTGACTTTGATGAGCACAAAACTAGATGTGACATGTTATTCAGAAGCCCTGGTGTTTCTTTGACAAATGTTTATTTACATCATATCACAGGGGTACAGTTTTTATTTATAGATCCTTGATAATGGACCGTTCTGGGGATGCAGGCCCTCTATGTTTGCCTGGAAGCTGCCTCATATGCTCACAAGGTTAAACGGAAAGTTACACTTCCCTGCTGTTCTCCAGAATGACTCAAAGTAACTGATTCTTTTTTGCTGTGAGATTAACACGTGTGCAAAGAGAGTAGGAGATGTAAGGAGCAAGGATTAGTTTGAAGGCTAGTTTAATAAGGCCAGCTTTGACTCGCCCCATCTCCATGGAGAGTGCTGGTGTGAAAGAATGAGTCTGACAGTTGGAGACAGTAATCTGCTGCTTGTTCCCCTTTGGTTTCACTTTGCCTTCTCTTTGTATGTGCGATCTGTTAAAGTCATTTAACTTGAGGTTAAGTTTACTTCTGTTGGTATTTAGCTCTGTACATGTGCAATGTGTATTTGGCATGCCCACTCTCCTACCAACGTATTGCTCTTTGCCTTTATCTTACTAATGCCTCTACGTCTTCAAGGACCTGCTACGGTTTTTCCTGGTGCCTGAATGATCTTGTCATTAAGTATTATATCAGCAGCACTGACAGAATAGCACTGTTAACCGCAAAAGGGATCTAGAAAATTTCTTTTTTTGTTTGTTGTTTTTATTTTATTTTTTTAAGAAAAGAATCACTTGAAGCACAGAGTTTCAGAATACAGACTAAAAAGCCCCTAAAGTCTTGACAGTGCAAATCTGCAAACTCACAGCCCCATACTTAATGCATTTTGGTCTGCAAGGCAGATTTAAGCTCTGGGTTAAAAACTGAGTCAAATGAAAGGAAAACCCTTAAAGCTGTAACTTTTCGAGGTAAATTTGCTGTTTTTGTATTTGGTGAGCAGCCAGAAGGAAGTAAGTGGTAGTTTAGCCCAAGCAGAATCAGAGAACCATGTTAAAATGTCTCCTGGACTTATTTTTTTTCTTAAATGGAAGTGTTAGTGGGCTGCAGTTCCAACACGCTTGGGGGGGCGGGGCTTCAAGCATGTTGAGCACTCTGGCAATCATAAAACCCCATGCACACTTGAAACTAAACATAGGAGAAATATACATATTTAAATATATCTAAGTGAGATGTTGTGTATGATATAATTGTGAAAAAAATGTGAATATATATATAAATATTTAGGTCTAGATTAAGTTCGATACTGTAAATTGTCCTCATCTCCTCTGATTTATATATTAGTGACCATTTTGTACAGATTTTTCTTTTTTAATTCATCCAGAGAGATATTACATTTCACACTGAGATTATTTATTCACATGCAGAGCATTTTTATATATTGTTTAAAATATATGTGTAGATAACTGTTAGGCTCTGTAATATACTTTGAAGTTGATTTTGAAATTGTAAAAGTTTCTTTTATGAACAATGAGTTAAACTTTCTGTAATTATGAGGATTTCAAAAGCTTTTCCCTGAAAATGCTCGTCCAGCTTGTCTGCACCTTTGCCTCCTAATGTTAACGTGTAGGAGGCTGGACCAGTGCCTGTTAGTAGGGGCTTATTTTGCTACTATCATTTCATTTAGGTGTGGGTCACTTTTCATGTGTTTTTCTTTTTTCCTCACCTTATTCTGCCATTCTGTGTTTGTGATCTACATAAATGGTGTTAGCGACACTGGAGATGGTCAGAAACACAGAAAATGTAGTACTTACTGTGACATGAGTCCAAAGGCTTCACAAACAAGCCTTGCTTTGATTAAAGGGAGTTATATGGCTTTATTTATATTTTTTCTCCTGGTTTTATTTGTTTGCATGTGACTTGAGATGGCAGGAATGTGGATAAAAAAGGTTCAGAAACTGTAAGTGTAGATCTTGTTGCTTATGTTGCTTCAGTTTGTGGCTTTAAGTAGCATTTAAGCTAAACTATCAAAATGGTAAAAGATGAACTCATTAGGGAATCATGCAAAGATGTATGAAGTCTGTGATTTTGCCATTGTAGTTTTTTTTTTTTTTTTTTCAGATTCTCTACCTACATTCTGTTGTATGTGTATGAGATTTTTACTTGAATGTGTGGATGTTCAAAAATCTTGGCATCAAAAATATATATAAAAAAGATAAAATTGACTTGTAAATAGGCTGAGTAATAGAGAGTTTACTGAATTATGTCCAAAAGAACATGTTTTATTAATAAACTATGATGATGGATACAAAGGTATATACAAAAACAATGCATGTATAGTCTCAAGCAAACGCACGGTGCAGTTTAGAAAAAAAAAAGTTACGTACATGTTTTTTCAAAGTTGTAAGAAAGAGTCGGAGGAGTGGTTTACAAACATGAACAATACGTTATTTCTGTGACACAGACATGTTCAGTCTTACTGTGGAGTTATGTGGTGATGACCATAGTGGCTAGGAGTGTTGAACGTCCAGGGATCAGAAGGCTTGAACGCACCCCAACGTGAGAAATCAGCAAAGTATGAATTTCCCATTTGTAGAGTAGTGTGACATAAGAATAAAAATAACTACAGATCAATTATATGAGATCAATAAAATTGAAATGCCTACTGATACTGGAGGTAATTTATCAGTGTGGATGCCATGATATTCTGTGAGAAATGTGTGTTGTTTTTTTCTGTGAGAAGACAGCAGGTCTGATCCTGCCTTCTTTTGTACATAATTTGCTGTGATTGTGTGTCTAATAAAGTGCAGCCCTCTTGTACAGTCTGATTTTGCTTTATTCCTTCTCTTTTTATGACTTTATCTCAAACACAATTCCAGCATCTTGTGTCATAAAGATAACAAATACAAAAAAAAACAAATGTTTACAAAAAGGTTTACATAAAAAATAAGATAATGTTTTGAGCAGTGTCACAAATTTTAAGCATACAGGTCCACTGAGATAAAAGTAAATGTTAAAAAAAAATGTAATTATCAGAGTGGATGAAGTTAAAGTTAAAAATGTTCTTCTCCTGTATTTACATAGCTAATTAACACTAAGAATACAGTTAATACAAAATGACTGATGCTGGTTCATGTTATACTGTATATACAATACACACTAAAGGCTTGTTAAAGTTGCTTTTATATTTGAGTTTACATAATGTATATTTATCAAAAACAAAAAATAAAGCATAATTTCCTCAGGTTTCTTGGCGCTGAGCCGGACGACGACCGTCTGTGCGTCTGTATGGTGTGCTTCTCAGATCTGATGGAATATGATACAAATCATGGTGTCATGAAGTCAGAACTTTACATACTGTTTGGCTCTAGACTCAAAACGAGTGTTTTTTGTTACTGTACCTGTAATAATATCCTCCAGAGCGCCATCTTTTCCCTCGCGCACCGGAGGTTTCACCTGCCTCTTCTTTAGCTCTGCTAGAAAATCCATCTTTGGCATCATTTGACCCTAGAAAACACAAATCATTAGTCAAATGTTTTTTTATTTTTTCGGCTGGATATGGTGTATTATTGGCATCTGTATCTTGTAAAATGACAATATCAATGAATATTAATGAAATTCAATTGTTCATTGTGAATACAGCTACCAAAATTAAAATTGGAAAGCTAGGTTGAGAAAAGTGAGCCCATTGAAAGGCTATTCCACAAATGTAAAATATATGCACTCAGTCCTTGATTGGGGCTTGTTTTTAATTAATCGCTGCACTGATGGGATTTAGAATGAAGGTGAACAGCTCGTGGTTCTGCCGAGGTGTTAAAGAAGCTCCGCTTGCTTTATTAATGGCCTTGAGCTTGTCTGCATTGCTGTTTCTGGTGTTTCCTCTACTTCTCAAAGACACTGTTATAATTAGAGCTACATTCGATTCAGTATTCTTTTAATACAATTTCTCAGTGGGGTTAAAGTTAAGGTAGTTTGCTGACAAATGGTGTGGAGTTCTGCTGAAAAAAATGCAAGAACATCAGAATCTCCAAAAAGCTTGATAGTAGGGTTTGATGCTGTATGTATCACTGTTTCTGGTAAAGAAACTGGATCAACACAAAAGACTGCATGTCTCTAAAAGATCAACTGACATGAAGATCCTAAACATGACTTCAAACAAACTGAATTTTGTGCTTTTCCACTCCTCCTCCAGACTCTGGAACCTTAATTTCCTAGTAAGACAGTTGTTTTCTGTTTTCTCAGGTTGCAATAGCTATAACCCATTTCATAGATTTGTTGTGAAGCTGTGGCTCTGGGCATAGCATCGGCGTCGCCAGACCCCATTTACTGGGGCACGTGCCCCAGTATAAATGAGCTGTGCCCCAGTATAAATCTCATGAATATTTGCAACAGTATTACATTTTTTTAATGCATCAATTTAGATATTTCCAACGGAAGGAGACGTATATTTCTACTCAAATGCGCAGCAAGTGTGTTGGTAACTCCAAATTGAGGATGTATTAGCGCCCCCACGTCACCGCATGTCACTGCATGAACTGCAGGTAAACTAACACGCCGCTCTCAACTGAGTTGGATGGGACACTGTGCAGCCACGACGCATTTTTAGTTCTGGTAATGTTTCTTACCTGTCAATTTTATTATTTTCCCAGTGAAACCACATGATTTATAGGCTACTAACTGAAAATTACTGTATTGGTTTGTAGATGGATAGCAGGAAATTCCTCACACGAAGCAGAGACAGGGAAGCAGTAAAACAAGATGAGAGAGAGGGAGGTAAGGTCCCGTAATGAATTAGTGATTTAATGTAACCAGTTACATTAGGAACGTTATAAGTAATATGATAGATATTTACATAATTATAAATTTGCGTTTTTTTTTATGTTTGCTGTAGAGAATGAGAATGCAGGTGCTGGAGTAGGAAAGGGAGGAGGAGGCGAGACTGACTGGCAAGAGACAGGTGAAAGACAGGAGAGACAGGACCATGAAGGTGATGAGGATGCAACAACCAGCTTCCACAAACAAGAAGGGGACATTAGTGACTTAGGGGGAAAGCATGATGGTCCTAAACAAGTGAAGTTGTCCCACTATCCCCTGGGGCAAATTTGGAGTAAAAAAACGTTCATTTAATTCAAAATGGTTTGAGCTTTTCCTGGTTAAAAAAGAAAGCCTTGTTATCAAGGATATGCAGTGTGTTTTCAACTTGCTTGATAACATCATATTCCCAACACTAAAGCAGGTCATCCAGATCTCCCTCACAATCCCAGTCTACAGATGGAGCTGTGAAAGGTCATTCAGTGTGTTGAGAAGGCTCCACACTTGGCCGAGGTGCACAATGGGACAAGATAGGCTCCATCATCTTGCTATTTTATCAGTTGAAAAGGAAGAACTTTCTAAGCTGAGTCACAAGTGATTGACCACTTTGCAAAAATGAAAAATAGGAGGTACACTTTAATGCTCAAAAAATAAAAGGAAAACTTAGTTCGGGTTGAGTTAAACTTTCCCCTGAACTAAAACTCGGAAACCTAGGAATTAATGATTACTTCAGAATGTGTATAAGGAAACTTTTTATTTTTAAAGTTGTTGATGTCTTATTTTTTATAGCTGCAATGTTGAAAATGTTCATGTTTGTTAAAACAAATATGCTCTTATACTCATTAATATCTCAACTGGTAATTTTGGTAGGAATGTATCAGGGTTGGGCAGTGTGCTTGTCTGTATTTATGTATGGAAGGAGGGGCATATGCACTAGGGGGCCAGTGCCCCAGTAAAGCTTTGTGCCTAGCAACGCCCCTGGGGCATAGTACATGCCTTGTAAATCCCCTGGATTTTGCTTCACACTATTCTCAGACTGCAGCTATTTATGTTGCAAACCAAGCACGTTTCTACCATACTGTCTTCTGTCACTTAACTTACCATTAATATGGTTATGTAGGGTGTCGGCATCGGTATGCTGGACAACTGTCAACTCAGCAGGTCTTAATGGTTGTTATGGCCACAGAAATGCTAATGCCATGCAATGACCATGTCCTTGGTCATTCATGCGAAAGACCAAGAGCTGAAATCATCTTTATTTAAAGGAGGACAGTTTTAAAATATGCTTCTTTAATATTAACAATGATGTCTTATGCTTGTATGTAAACGTGTAAACCAAGCTTCTCTAGTAACTGCTCTTGGCTGCCCCCTGCTGTTGCTGGGGTACTTAGCAAGTAACTTAGTTTGCCTATGTCTTGGACTGCATCCCTTAGGAAATATTCAGTTTAGGACCACCCATGCTACATGCCTCTAGTTAACAACAATTTGAAACAGAAATCTTCGTACCTTTTGTGATCCTCCCTTGTTTGGAGTTGTTGGTGTTTCCTTTTCCTCAGAACTCTCCTTTTCCATTTTCTTTTTCAGTTCAATTTCTTGCTGTGCTATCTGCATTAGGAATAAGAAAAAAAAATACTTGCATGAAAATAATCATTGCACAGGGGTTAAAAGTGAGCAACCTCAAAACAGCCATCACAGGTTCTAGTCCTGGTCCGTTTACCTGTGCCACTTATCTTCCCCCTCCCCTCTCTCAGCCCCATTTCCCATTAGATGACCTTTACATAAAAGCCAAAAGAGCTTAAATCGCTGCTTAAGTTGCAAACAAACCTTATACGCCTTTACGAAGCGACCAAACAGTGGGAAAAACATGGAAGGCTGTGTGGTTTTGGGATTCTCTCCAAAATACTCCACGACAGAAGCATACGCCTCCTGCAGGTAAAAGAAATGTGTGACGATATAATAAAAATAAGAGTTATGTGAGGGGTTGCTAGTGTCAAAATTCCAACCTGTGCTGTCTTGCTGTCTTTGATCAATGTCTCCAGGTGCTCACTGTTTGTTTTGATGAATTCCTTTAACACTGGGCTATCATCCTGCACCAGGAACTCTTTCTTGGTCATCTCCATACCTCGCTCCAATGAACGGATGTCCTGAAGAATACTGTCCAGGGATACTAAGAAAGAAAAATGACATTTAAAAACACCACCATACCAAAGAAACATTAATAACGAAATGTAAAAAAAAGTGTATCTATGTACCAAGAGCTGCTTTGTCTATAAAGTGTAGATCAGTGTGGAAGTTGACCAGGTCGGGGTATTTTTCAAGAATGATATTTGTGATGAAGTGCAGTAGTGTCTGAGACCGATCAGTGGATTTAGTCTCCAACAACTGAAGGTGAAAAAGTCAGGTTTAAGCTTTACTGTAAAAAAAAAAAAAAAAAGAGAAATCTGAAAGGCAAAAAAAAAAAAGGCTACTTACAAGGTCAAGACTCTGCAGCCTGAAACCATAGGCTGCACCTCTCTTACTGCTGTTCATGTAGTTACCAAAGGCAAGAACAATCTGCAAGAAAATGTTCAAAATAAATCATAAAATCTCTTATTTAGGAGTTATAACAGTGTTTGTATCTACTTTGACTTACTTCTAAAATCTTTTTCAGTTTAGCTGAAGACTTGATGGACATAGAAGCGGCAATGATGGAGTTCAGTTGCTGTGGATGAAGTGAAAACACTATAAATATACTTTGTTAATGCCTATACCAGCTCAGGCTTTAATGCCTCATCAATAAACTGACCGGCTGCAGGCGTTTGAAACTTTCTGGGAAGTTTCCCATGAAGGTAAGCGTGTTTATTCGCTGATTTAGACGAGCGATCTTCCCGAAACGTAAAATGAATTGATCTTCATTTGTCAGCTCGTCCAGAGGCCGACCTTCTTTCTCATAGTTTACAAGGAGTTTCATCTCAAAGTCAGATGGTATGAAGTGTTCAAGCAATTCCAGGAAGTCTATGGATAGAGACTTCTGGTCGTACCTGTACAACAGAAGGATTAGGATTAAAGGGAGTAGGAGTGGAAAGGGCAAGAAGATACTGCTGAACACCTCAGAAAGTATTGCAACATGAGGACATACGTCTCTATGGCAGTGCAGATAGCAGATGGACTCATTCCTCCCTTGCGAAGAGTAATGGCTAGATTCTTGGCCTTGTTTGCATCAATGAGGGATGTCTTGGTGGGAGCCTTTTGGGCAACCTTCTTCTTAACCTTGGATAGATCTGCTGGATTCCCCTGGGCCCTTGTTTTGAACTGTTCCTCAAACATCTCCATGTTGAGCTCCTTGTATGGACAGAGTGTGAGTCAGAGAAAATGAATAATTTCATTCCAAGATTCAATTATAATTTCAGTAATGCAAGATGCAAAGTCTCACCCCTAAGATCTGCTCATCATCTAGCTCATTGAATACTGTTCCTGAGACTTGGTTTGGTTTTAAAGCCTGCCAGTTCAGCAAAGGCATCCTGTACTTGGTCTGAATGGGTTTCTTACTCTTGAAACCTGAGTAAACATAAACAAAGTGGTCAAACAGAGATCAGGTATTGAGCTTAGGGAGACCTTTCCAGTTTGTCTCAATGTCCTCACCAGATTGGGCACCTGGTGCTCCAGGAGGTGGTGGGGGTCCCCCACCAGGTGGAGGAGGAGGAGGCGGAGGTCCCCCACCAGGCGGAGGAGGAGGAGGCGGAGGTCCCCCACCAGGCGGAGGAGGAGGAGGTGGGGGTCCACAACCAGCTGGAGAAGGTGTTGGACCTGCTCCGGGCGGTGGAGGAGGTGGAGGCGGAGGTGGAGGAACAGAACCTTCACCTGATGGCAGAGGAGGAGGAGGAGGTGGTGGAGGAGGAGCACCACCAGGAGTAGATGGGGGAGGCTCAGCGGGGAGGGTGGATGTTGAGGCTGGGATACTCGGTTGGGCGGATGAGGTTGGGCTTTGGACATACTCAACAACTTTCACAGGTACAACCTGGATGTCCAGACCTCCCGAGGCAGTACGTCCCAGTCGGATTACCCCTTTGTCCTGCAGCTCCTGGATCTTCTGCTCCAGCTCAGAAGTCGACTGACTGGCAGAGAGGCAGAGACGTTCCCGGTCCCTCTCCCTCTCCCTGTCCAGCTCCCGCTCGCGTTCTCTCTGCTGCAAAGAACTAACCTGGGTACAAGACTCCCGTAGGCTTTCCTAAAGGATGCAGACACAGATGCATCGATGTCACTGTTTACAAAAAGTTTATTTTATATTAAAGGTTTTTACTAAGAATATTTTCACCACTTCCGTGATTTCAAACTTGCTTGGGACATTAATTCATACACTTAATGTCTAATAAATTCTACTCTCTTACTTTTATCATGTAAAATATATCACTTGGTTTTTGTCAGGGAATTTTCTTGAAGGTAACTTTTCTAGATAGTTTACATTATGATAATATACCTGCATGATAGCAATTATATGTGAGAATCCCAATTATTATTAAACATGACATTCATAGAAACTTTGCCTTGTTAAACTTTGGTCTGGTAGACAAAATGTTATCCACATGGATTTGTAATTTGTATGGAAGCAGATATAAAATAAGTGGAGGTACAAACTATTTAGCATGATTTAAAACATCCTGACAAAACTACTGCATGTTTAAAATCTTAGTGACAAGTTCATTTAATATGCATATTACCTTTAGATGGAGTTAAAATAAAAATGCTGTAAAATGTTTCATTAATATTCAAATTATTTCACAATAGTTTAAAAATAAAATAAAATTAACCATAATCACTGAGTTTAGTTAGTTAGTTTGTTTGTTAGTTGGTTTGTTCTTACTTTGAGCAGCTCCGTTTCCTTGGTTGCCTGAATGAGCTGAGTCTCCAGCTCAGATATCCTCTCTGTGGTCTGAGCCTCAAGCTCATTAAGTCTGGAGTTTAGCTGCAACATAAGAAACATAATCCTACGTGAACATTACCACATTAACAAACCTTAATCAGTACAGCAGAGAGACTTTCATTACTGAGCTTATAATTATCTTAATATATCATAGTTTACATGTATATTGTGACTCTGCAGTTCATCCACATGCTCCAGCACTCCTCCCCTGTTCTCAGCATCCTCCAGCAGAGCTCCAACATCCAACACGTTGTCCAAATAGGCCTGGATCTGGACTTGCAGCTTCTCGCTTTCTGTGTGTTTTAGACTCTAATACACAGAAACAAAGTAAATTGACAAATTTAAAGGGATCAGATACAGAATAATCATAAAAGTTCTTAATATATGAATTTAATACACATGTAATGTATAAACATCATGTTTGTGCATTGAATATGTTCAGGTCATTACTATTTACAGATTTAATAACGACTTTCTAATAATGTTTTTTAATGGAAGCTACAGTTGCAGGCAGTAAAGACAAATAAAGAATCCCAGGATCACCTCTGAAGACTCATTAAATATTTTAATGCACCAATAATCTGACAACTAATACATTTCAGATAATCATGAATATTTTTTAAACTATAAACAAAGGTCCAGTTGTAGTTTTCCTAAAACTCACCTCCAGATACTTGTCTAATCCAAGGTGAGTGAATTCATACTGTAGATGGACTCTGAAGTTCATGTTCTCCACAGAATGGACCACGATGTTAATAAACTGCATGCAGGCCACCTGCAAACACATATTAGTTTTTCCTCATTTAGTTAAACGTTGTAAAGCTATAGATTTGCTAATGTATAAAATCAGTTATGTTTATCATCACAATGGAATAATTTCAAAACCTGAAATGAGATCCTACCATGAAGTCAATATTGTTATCATCATTGATGAAGTACTCCATTAGCTTCTCAAAACGGTTCTTCTCTTTGCTCACCTGAAGATAATAGAAACATCTTTAGAAAAGCAGTTAAGCAGTTGCCCACCTGGGGGCATACATTTCATTTTTAAGATTCCTGATCAGGTGGATTTATTGGATACATTATGCAACAAAAAAAGATGTTACATGGCTGCACTTCATCTGAGCCAGGCTTACACACACATGCATGACTCTCACAAGAGTTTTAAATGTGACATTGCATGTGAGAAGTAGAGTGTGTCACTAATGTGATGAGTCAAAAAAGTCAGCAAGTATGCAACCATTGGATTTCTAAAGAGCACATATCCCACAGCACTTGTTGTGTTTAAAGAATCCCCCCCATCCCATGCCCACTAATTTCACCTCCTTAAAGTGGTCAAAAGCGGAAAGAATGATGTCATGCCCTCCTCTGACGAGACAAACGGCGGCCAGCAACTCCAAGACCAGAGCTTTGGTCCTGTCACAGCAGGGGGAGAGGAGCACAGTCAGGTGTCTATACAGACTGAGTAGTGATGCTCAGCTCAAACCCAACTCACCTGGGATTCCTGCTGTTGAGGCTGAGGGTGATCTCGTTCACACAGCGCGGGTGAGTCATCACCAGGTTAAAACCAGACTGAAATGCAATAGGAAGAGATAATTCTGTAAACTTCACAAAATACTAAGTTTAGGCTTTGTCCTGAAATTTAAATAATGATCAGGAAGCTTATTATTTGCAAACAGGCTGCATATTTAAACTGATGTTTTTAAAATACTCTACCTGGTAGTTCATGATGGCTCTTAAGCACATAATGCACACATGTATATCATCTCTTTGCTGGGATGAATGGGACTTCTTATGCATCTTGTTTGCCAGAGTGGAGCTTATTCTGTAAAGGGACAACAAGTGTAATTGTATAAATAAAAAAAACAGATAGAGAAGAAATTTTATTTAAATTCAGATGTTTTTAGTTTTTTTCTGAGATTGTGACTTCTGCTTTGCAAGCTCTAATCTTCTACCTGTCTAAATAACCATGATGCACGTTCCTTTTTAAGAATAGTGCATGTTGTGGTGAGAAGTGCATAGAAAACCAGGTCCCTTCATATCTCGGTGATTATCTATGACTGCAGCTTCTTACCGTACAGTTAGGGCTCGGGCAGCTCTGCCCATCCCATGCGAGTGACTGCTGCTGGAGCTCTTGGTCAAATCTTCCATTGACCGCTCTGCCGGTTTGTGTCTGTCTGACAGGGTTCCACCATTTTCTATAGTCTCCAAATCAAATCTGCAAAAAGTTAAGATTCAGTCTTAGTGATAGCTATTGACACTGGAAGAGCACTAGTGAATATTCTGTTGGTACTCACGAGGTGTCACTTTGTGCATGGGTGAGATAGTCCACCAGAACATCCAAACCTTTGTTCTGGTCATTGAGAAATTCCTGAGCCCATCTGTAGAGAGAATGATAGATTCTATAATGATCTAGATAATCATAATTAAATATGAAATCTGACTGAATGTAATGTTACAAATCTTGACCATTTTTCCCCAGTAGCAGCACAGAAGCTATGATTTTTTATGACAAACAAAAATGTGTTTAGTTTGGGTAATTGTTTATGTTTATGCATTTAGCAGACGCTTTTATCCAAGTTACAATAAGGTCTCTAGAGGGAAATCTCTAGTCAGAATCAGTGGGGACAGCAAAGAGATATAGAGGGAAGTACAGAAAGAGTAGTAGAGGGGGATTGGATGAGAGTTGGGATATGAGACGCTCTTTGAAGAGGTTGATCTTTAAGAGTTCCATAAAGATAGAAAAGGACGCTGCTGTTTTTGTGCTTGGGAGGTCATTCAATTATCTTGGAACAACCCATGAAAACCGTCTGGATTGTCTTATAGGCACTGCTAGATGACAATCCATTGAGTGACAGAGTTTGTTAGACGGTTCAAGTAGAAGGAAGCCGTACACTTATTATGTGGAAAACCAAAATAAAGATTTCTAAGTGAACAGAACTTTCCATTTGATCTTTATGTTTGCCTTACAGTACGTAACATCAGCACTGAAGCACAGGTTGCTGCTATAGCATATTAGAAAATTGTCTTTGAATAAACCTGTTTTTTAAGGTGCTATATGCAAATGATTATTTCTGCTCTCCTAATTAAACTCCCGTGTTTTGTTGTAAATTTAATCATTGGTAGTTAGATAAACAAGGAATGACTGCCATAACTGGGCCGTTTTGCTTACTGTGCTCTCTGATGTGAGTCAGTATGATTTGACTGATGGGTCATTCTGATATAGATCATTAATCATAGATGACAACAGATACCACATACCTTAATAAAATCTATTTTAGTGTGAAACTGTAACTGGTGCAGGGCTAGGAAAGATTATTTGCATAGTTCTGTTCACATGCAAGATTATTTAAAGCATTTTAGAGGATAGTTAAGGAGCAGAAATAGAAGTATTACATCAAAAACATGAAACACATCAAAAGTACAACACTACAAATGTAGCCATCACCTGATACGATACAGATATAGGACGAATTAGTCATAATTGACTCCAAAGTTATAACCCTTTTTTTTTTGCATCTAGAAGTACAGAACAATATTATTTGACTCAATGCTCTGCAGGTCCAGCAGGTCCAGTTAGTAAATAGTTTAGCATTGCTAATGCTAAATACAGAATAATACAGCAGTAGGAATGAGAATGCTAGCAGATAGTGAAGCTTGTGTCTTTATTTAAATGACTTCTGATAAGAGCTGTACCTGAACAGCTGGTAGTACTACAATTACACTCGGTGTAGTATCACTATTGGTTCAAGCCAACACAAAAGAGTTTAGCCTGTTTCTCAGCATAGTTGTAAGGAATGTCAAACAAATAGTTTTATTCACATAGTCATATTTGCACCAAAGAAAAAGCCAATCAAAGACAGAGGAAAGGCTAAATCAGCTGCAAACATTTACAAAAAAAAGAATTCAGGTTTAAATTTTGAATCTGTATAGAAATGATATCAGGTCAAATAATGGCATAAAAATCACAAATACTGACCCAATGTGATTAGTACGAAGGGATATCTCCAAGGCTTTAAGGACCTGGGTTGCATCTAGAATTTTTTTCTTTGACTAAAAAAGGGAAACAAAAGGGATAATTTTCTAGTATCACTGCACATGCTAGAAGATGGATTAATCATAGCATTCAGGGGTCATGTGTTCCACTGACCCTGCGAGACACCCCTCCTTGATCTTGGTAGAAGCTCTTGATCTTGGACAAATAGGTAGACGGGGGGCTCTTCACTTGGAAACGCTCCTGATGACACACAGGCAGAGCAGAGTTAATGTGTGCATGTGACGCTTTACAATTTATTTAAAAAGCTGCGATGAGCAGAGCAGCTCAATCATCATATTTGTGCACCATTTGAATCTATTCCTGCAAGCGCCACTAACAACAAAACACTAACCACTGTTGGTTACCATAGCGACGCCTCTATCGGCTGCCACCACAGAAACTGAGGTGCAGGGTATACAATCTGCACACACCCTAGTGACCTTTTTCATTCCATTTTTACCAGAGGTGCCAAAGTATTAATGTTTACTCAAGTAGAAGCATAAATCCTACTGAGTAGCAACTTCAACTTTTTAATCAAATAAAAGTGTAAAAGTACCAGTTTTAATATAATTTAAAGTATAAAACAAAAGTAATGCAGGACAAAATGATAAAGACAGATGCTTTACTGCACTACCCTATTTTTCTACAATTCTGGATGATGATTTCCTTATACTTAACTTTCTTGGTGTTATAACTAATGGTAACAGTTTTAAATTTAACTTTGCTTCATCTTGATAACTATTTATTTTGGTATGTGGTGAACAAAACCTTGAGTCAACCTCAAAGAAATTGCCTGGATTAAATAAATTATTTTGATGTTTTTTTTTTAATTTAAGGAGTACTAGAAAGTAGAGATAATTGCAAAAAAAAAAATTAAGGAGTAGAGGTAAAAAGTTGTCTAAAAAATAATTACGAAGTATTTCTACTTTGGTACCTGACACCTCTGATGCAACAATAATCCTCATTGTTATGATGAATGTTGTAATTTTGGATGATAAGATGTTACCAGTAAATAAACTCTCACCTGATCACAAACTAATTCCCATTTCTTGTCGTTGTCATATTGACTGAGCAGCTTCAGTTTATCTGGCGGCAAATTCATGTAGCTCTGAAAGACAGAAAGAGAAAGAGAGGTGATTAAAAAAAGACATTTCGATAAAGAAATATACAAACTACTGCCTTACTTTTTGATATTGGTCTGCTTTTGCTTGTCTGGTTCATTTTTATTTAGTAAAGACATAAAAAAGATAAAAATTACCAAAATTAACATAGAGAGGGATGGAATCCTTTATTGAAAGGGGAAAAACTTAAATCTGGCTAAAACTAATAACTATATCCGCCATTTTAGCAGGCGATAAGTGCTGTTAAATGTTCGCCATAACTGAGAGACAGTCCTTACATTTCTGAGGAGGAATTCTGTCCCACATTTAATGCTGAAATTCTCTAATTCAGCCACATTGGAGGGCTTTGGTTTGTGATTGGCCATTTTAAAGTAATTCCAAAGCAAATATTTATAAAATATATCTGATCTATATCTTTAAGTTCTATCCGGGTTTGTTTAGGTTGGATAGTATGGAGGTGAGCCTGCTTTAAATCAATGTCCTACTTCATCAACCATGTTAGCTTCAGGCTAATTCATTCTCTCAGGTCAAAGAGCAGATTAGCTCCAGACTATCATACTACCACCACTATGTTTAGTCTGATTAAGATATCCTTGTTCTGAAATACCGAGCATTTTACCCCACATAAATCAGGAGACATCTTCCATAAAGCTAGACTTTTGACTTATTCATTCATGCAAGTTTTTTTCTAAATATCTCGGATATTGTTTTCTTTTTTCTTCTTGGTGTTCCTTTTGGTCAGTAAATGTTTTGAACTCTGCTGAACTTAACTCGAGACAAACAAGGCCTGCAGTTCTTAAAATGTTGAACAGAGTTCTTTTGTATAACTCTGGATGAGTCATTAAAATGCAGGAGTATTTTTGGTTGACATTTTTAAAGGAGCCTTCTAAAAATGCTTTGTAATCGTATGTCTGATTGAAAGCGGTCATTATTGTAGCATTTCATTCGTTTTTGGGTTGCTTTGGATCAGAGGGTGATGTGTTGCTTTTTAAATATCTTGGTCTAGTTCTTCCTATCAGACACATTCTATTTAATAAATCCATGTCAGTAAACAGGTATGGTTATGACAGCCAAAAACATGCATCTTTTTAAAAGGGCGGTTCTTTTATATAATAACCAATTTTTTCTTTTTTTTTTGAATATCTTTGATAATATGATCTAAAAATACTGAATAGTGACAAATATCTGTTTTAGACATCCTTTGTTTTTATTGCTTATGGAACATTACATCAGTCAGAAGTAGAGAAAGTAGGAGGATGTACCTGTTCAGAGCAAAAAAATGACTCAGTGTTTACATGAGCTGTTGATGGTTGTCAAGAGATACTCCACCCCTCCACCCCCAACCCCAATTTCTAATTGACTGCTGGTTTAACCTGATGAGACATTACAGAAACCTGTGTTTTTACATCTTAGTAATACAACCAGTCTATCTCACAAGGCTAAAAATCTATTGGATACCTAACAATAAAACTTCTGAGTGGTTGTGATCATTTCTACGTTGTAACACACCTTGAAATAAGCAGACTTTACAGACTCTACTTCTGCTTTTGGCTTGTTTTTCATCTCATAACTAACCATTAAATTACCCCTTTCTAACTTTTTGAGCTATGCATTTTTTTTTCAATTGCATTTGCTTAAATGCCAATAAAGAAGTTCTATTCAATTTGAGAACTTGACTGGTCAGATCTACAGGATGAAAACATTTGCTTGCCACATTTATTTGGAAAGTGTGCAAGATTTTTGGTGAAAAAAGCCAAAATAGATTACCTATGTTGCAATATTTTAATGGTCTTTTGGTCACCCTGGAATTGTTCAAAATTGTTGCTATTATGCTAACAAATCAAACAGAGCCTACCTTCATGCTTGTTAGTGAAAACACCTTTATTTTTTTCAGAATTAGCTATACACTGCAAAACAGATCTAGAAATAAGTAAAATATTTGAAATTAAGCATATTTAACCCTAATTTTATTAGGTAAATAAGATGATTTGCCAATGGAATGAGTATTTCCACTCTTAAATAAGATATTTAAATAATTTTTACTTGAAATAAGACAAGATAATTGTTTTTTTACTTACCGGTATTTTAAATTTAAATTGTCTTGTTCCGTTGGCAAAGAGTCTCACTTACCTCCTCAATTCAAGAAAAAAATGCACTTATTTAGATTTCAGTTTTTTGCAGTGTAAGTGATACAATGCTATCCGCTAAAGGCCTTTTATTCATACATTGATATGAATTGCATTGACAGATATAACAGAGAAGGTAATAAAAAAACAACATGCAGGTAAATCCATAAGTCTATAATACCTACAGGAAATAAGACACTACAGCTATTTTAAATGGTTAGGATTAAGGAATGTATAAACTCTACATAACAGGGATCAGCACTGAAAGCCCCCACCTCCACAGGTTTTTTAGTGTAGGTTGTTGAATTCAAATCAAAGGTTCAGTTCTATGTGTCAAAAAAGGGCAACTTTTGCGTAATTTCTTCCTCATTAAAGGATTAAGATATCAAGAAAAACAAGGACCAAAAATAAATGCTGTGGTTAATTCAGCATTAAAGAAGGGAACTTGTGATTAAATGATTACATTCTTGTACAAAATTACCATTTACACTATTTAAAGTCCTAACCTACAATACTGTAAAGTTAAGCTGACCTACAATGCAAAAATAGTTTACCGTCAAGACAAACAATTGCAGTCAGCACTGGGTGGGGTTTTCAGTTACCCTGTGCGCACCCAAACAGCAGCTTGGTGTTTCTTTTGCACATATTTAAAACAGAAGAGGTTCAAAACGGAAATGGCCCGTTGGCTTGTTGCAGAGGAGTCCCGCCTTACCCTTGAAAGGGGCAAGGGTGGAGCCCCTTTGGGGTTTTTGTGGTTGAAAATAAAAGACTGATGATAATGTAAGTCACATACTTTCTGATATAGAAGAAACGGGTCAAAATAAAGACAGAAAAGGTGCACTTCTCATTTCTTAGGGGAGTTAATGCTGAATTTTTGTCTTGTTTTTAGCTCGTCTTCAGCCTACAGTGGAAGTGTTCTGAGAAAAGAGGAAGTGAGGTCATGCATTCATATGAAAGGGCGTAACAGACACAAGGCAGCAGTGGTCATGTGGGTTCAGTAGGTGAGATAACTCAAATTTGTCACACACATATGTTATATTAAAACAGTTTCAAAGTTTGTGTTTCACTTATGAAGGGATGAAAACTATCTAAACCGAAAGTATTTCATTCAGAGTTAAGCCCAGAATTTTGGCCTCTCCACTCAGAGGTGAACCTACAGTAAGGCAGTCTTTGGATCACTGTCCTCCGTTACTAAAGTTTACTTGAACTTAAATTCCAAACTAATGGTTGGAAATCCCCCTTTGAGTCATTTGGCAGTGAGCAAAACTTTGGCACGCAAGGTCCTAAAGAACCAAAGAAACCCCAAACCATGACACTCCCATTACCGTGTTTGGCCATTAGTATAATGTTCTTTTCTAAAATGCTGTGTTAGTTTTAACAAGAGGCCTACAGAGTATTTTGCCAAAGGGTTAGAAATCAGCAGGATGTTATTTAGGAAAAATGTGACATTCTATTTTATAATTTCTAAGTTTTGTCTAGCTTTGGCTTGGCACTGTCTACTAGATTCCATACCCTCACAGTTTCTTCTTTCTAGTTCAAACCTGACCACTTAGGTTAACTGTGTGAGGTAAGTAAGGTCTGCCATCTTCTACTTGTTCTAGTTTCTCTTCTGTTGGAGTAATTTTAGAAGGCAAGCTGTGAATAACAGCATTCACTCTGGTTCACTGCCTCTTTCTCTCTCTTTTTTTTATATGAAATGTCATTTTGAAACTTTTAATTTTATTTACAGAGCTTATTTTTGTATCTTGATCTGAAACATTAAAATCTGACAAAAAAGCAGAAGGGAATCTGTAAGACGGGAAAAACTTTTTTCATGTGGCAGCCATCCAGCCTGAACTGACATCACCTCTACATGTACATTGCAGTCAAGAATCAGCCTAATGCCCTCATGTTGGTGCGTACGTCATACATATATAAAATACATTGATAGATGTTAATCAGAGGTCAAGTTAGAATAGAATACCTGATTTTCTGCCACTTTGACTGAACACAAACCATACACAGCAAATAATAAGTTATAACCAATTATTATCTTATAGAAACTTCTGTATGATGTAAATATACAGCTATCTTAAGAGGTTTAAAACAATCTTTATCTATCCATCTATCTGCTGCCTATAGTAGCCAACTCCTGCAGGACTATTCCAGCATTTGTTGCTTAGAGGTGGGGTGCATCCATGTTGTGACAGAACCGAACCGGAGGGTAATTAAAAACTAAAAGTTCACTAAACATTCTTTTTTTTTTCATGACTGAGAAAGGAAGTGAGAGTTCCCAGAGAGAAGCCAGATATCCACGTGGATAACTCCACGCAGGAAGACCACAGGCATCAACATCAGAACCTCCTTGTTGCAAGGCAGCAGCCTATCTACTTTAAGACAAAATAAGTCAATAGTTTAAATGTTTCAGACAAATATTCATCTTTTATTTACTCATTTTTAAAATGATACTAAGTTAGATGAAAGCCATGAACATTCTTTTCACAGCAAAAACAGGATATTTATTGTTGGGTTGCATAAGATTTATCATCAATCTGCAGTCATCTGGGCTCTAGTTAGACAAGTCATTGTAGTACTTTAGTAATCATGTTTGCTAATGTAATATTTCCCCTTTGTTGTCATGGTTTATATGAAATTGCATTTGCACAACAGCTAAGGGTTCTATTTTATTTTATTATTTTTTGTTTCGATGTTTGTTTGTTTGTTTTTTCTTTGTCATGGGGTTGCCATAGAACTAAATGTTTCATAGGTCTTTTAAGGACTTAAACTTACACTTAAAGTGATTATAAGCTCCATGGGGAACTTTTTGAATCTTCTTTTTGCCATACATTAGAAAGAAACCCTTTTTTTTAAACAGTTAAAATCAATTCCTATTTTTATACTGTTAACTCCTCACTAGTTTAAGTTAAGCAAACCATTGCTTCCTGCTCTAATGTTTACGTACATATCCTGTCACCCAGATGCACCAGAGTATGGGAGTTAATACTGTTTTTTTTCTTGTCCAGATCACATTTCTTTAATGAATTGCTTTGATGACATCAACATTTGCCAGATCAGCCCAAAACGATCTTTAACATATTTTTTAATCACCTTAACACATATTTCTACATTAAAACAAATGAGAAATTCCACAGGGGACTTTGTAATTTAAACTATAAGTATTTCTTGCAAAGTTTGGGGATTTTTATCCAGGTTTTAGGGACTGTCGAAAGAATGGTGAAACATTGCTTTCCGGTCCTGTGTGCTTTTTTATAAGTGTGTTGCTCAACTTCCCCTTCAGGCCAGTTACCCATGCAGAAACCAATCACCCATCTCCTAGTCTGGCATTTCAAAAATACATAGAAATACTGCCGAGCATTGGCTCAAAATGTCAAATTATAGATCATTTTCAAACATAACAATAAATGGCATTAGATTTTGCTACATAAAGTGAGAGAAATTATGGCAAAACACACCATAAGTATAGAAATCTTTGCAAACGTGAACAAATTACTATTACCTATTTACTTTAGGTCTTGGTTGATGTATTTTGCTATGTCTGTGTCTCTTGATCAATGGTTTATGAGCAAGACCTTCATCATTCCTAAAGCTTCACCAGCTGCATCTACAATCTGGTTTGTTTTCATATGCATTAAAGGTGTGGATCTCAGTTTCTTACCAGCACCACATTGAAGCGCTCCTCCAGCTCCTCTTCTGGAGGCATTGGAAGTTTGGGGGTAGAAGATTGCTTCTTCTGCAGATGCATTGTGGGGTCACTCATCGCTGAAACCACACCAAGTGAGTTCCTGTTCTCTCTGCCGTCGGCCGACTCAAGCTCCAAACCCCCTCCGGCCGCATTCCCCATCACTAATCTCCAAAAGTAATCCAGGAGGAAAGCTGTACACAAACCAATTCAGCCAAGAAATCAGTGTTGCACAGCAGAGTAACAAGAGGTGATCACTCCAAATGTTGAAAAAGAGAGTCCTGGGCCTTTCAAGGTGATGAACATCAAGTCTCTGGGTCACTGAAATCTTGTTTGTCCTGCTGTCACAAAAACTGCTGAAAAAATCAGGGTGGTCCTCATGTTTGCCCTCTGATTAACATATCTAGGTACAATGTAAAAACCCTTGTCAGTTTCTTCCAGAACAAGACTAGCCTGCGCCTCACTAACTACTATCTGAACTAGTTGAAAACTTTTCTGCCAAGTAAAACTCAAAGGCCTGTATGTGAGAGGAAGGAGAGGGAGTGTGAAACACTCTGTAACTAAGTCAGAAACCACAAAAGCACAAAAGCAGAAGAGTAACTTCCTGTGTGTGACAGCAACAGAACCTGGTGCTGAGCACAGGGTGGAAGATAAATGTAGCAACCGTTAGTAAAATGATTGAAATAGGTGGATGGTTAGAAAAAGAAAGTTAAACATGATAGAAATAAAGAAAAATATGAAGTTAGGTAAATGGAGTTATTTTATCTGTAATTGCACATGAATAACTTTAACACAGGGATAAAACAGTGGAAATACCTAGAGTAAATGATACAAATCTCTACACTAGAGCTTAGTATTACTCTGAAATAGTATTTCTATGATAGTATCACTGGGGGTTAGTTATTGCAAGTCAGGTAAAACAGGAGACTTTGGCAAATATTAGAAAACAGCGCCTCCGTGTGGTTAAAATCAATCTGATGATGCAAAATGTTATTTTTTTTCCTAATAAGTAAATATGTTAAGCATTTAATAACTAACTTTCCAATCATATAATGTTTAAAAGCCTTTGATGTGTCTTGAACATGAGCTAGGGGGTCAAAGACTATACGTTGTTATTGACTATATACAGGTGCTGGTCATAAAATTAGAATATCATGAAAAAGTAGATTGATTTCAGTAATTCCATTTAAAAAGTGAAACTTGTATATTATATTCATACATTACATACAAACTCATATATTTCAGATGTTTATTTTGTTTAATTTTGATGATTACAAATGACAACAAATGAAAATCTCAAATTCATCATATCAGAAAATTAGAATATTGTGAAAAGGTTCAAAATTGATGGCCCCTGGTGCCACACTCTAATCAGCTAATTAACTCAAACCACCTGCAAAAGCCTTTAAATGGTCTTTCAGTCTAGTTCTATAGGCTACACAATCATGGGGAAGACTGCTGACTTGACAGTTGTCCAAAAGACGACCATCGACACCTTGCACAAGGAGGGCAAGACACAAAAGGCCATCGCTAAAGAGGCTGGCTGTTCACAGAGCTCAGTGTCCAAGCACATTAATAGAGAGGCGAAGGGAAGGAAAAGATGTGGTCGAAAAAAGTGTACAAGCAAGAGAGATAACCGCACCCTGGAGAGGATTGTGAAACAAAACCCATTCAAAAATGTGGGGGAGATTCACAAAGAGTGGACTGCAGCTGGAGTGAGTGCTTCAAGAACCACCACACACAGACGTATGAAAGACATGGGTTTCTGCTGTCGCATTCCTTGTGTCAAGCCACTCTTGAACCACAGACAGCGTCAGAAGCGTCTTGCCTGGGCTAAAGAGAAACAGGACTGGACTGCTGGTGAGTGGTCCAAAGTCATGTTCTCTGATGAAAGTAAATTTTGCATTTCCTTTGGAAATCAAGGTCCCAGAGTCTGGAGGAAAAGAAGAGAGGCACTTCATCCACGTTGCTTGAAGTCCAGTGTAAAGTTTCCACAGTCAGTGATGGTTTGGGGTGCCATGTCATCTGCTGGTGTTGGTCCATTGTGTTTTCTGAGGTCCAGGGTCAACGCAGCCACATACCAGGAAGTTTTAGAGCACTTCATGCTTCCTGCAGCTGACCAACTTTTTGGAGATGCAGATTTCATTTTCCAACAGGACTTGGCACCTGCACACAGTGCCAAAGCTACCAGTACCTGGTTGAAGGACCATGGTATCCCTGTTCTTAATTGGCCAGCAAACTCTCCTGACCTTAACCCCATAGAAAATCTATGGGGTATTGTGAAGAAGAAGATGCAATACACCAGACCCAACAATTCAGAAGAGCTAAAAGCCACTATTAGAGCAACCTGGGCTATCATAACACCTGAGCAGTGCCACAGACTGATCGACTCCATGCCACGCCGCATTGCTGCAGTAATACAGGCCAAAGGAGGCCCAACTAAATACTGAGTGCTGTACATGCTCATACTTTTCATGTTCATACTTTTCAGTTGGCCAACATTTCTATAAATCCTTTGTTTTTATTGGTCTTCAGTAATATTCTAATTTTCTGATATGATGAATTTGAGATTTTCATTTGTTGTCATTTGTAATCATCAAAATTAAACAAAATAAACATCTGAAATATATGAGTTTGTATGTAATGTATGAATATAATATACAAGTTTCACTTTTTAAATGGAATTACTGAAATCAATCTACTTTTTCATGATATTCTAATTTTATGACCAGCAACTGTATAAATAAGAAGAGGCTTATTCCACGGGAAACTCCTTTATATTATATGGTCGCGGAATTATTCAGTAGATTAAATTTACGTCAAGTAAATGGGACAAGTGCGGTGAAACAGCGCCTCCATGTGGTAAAAGACAACCATCATATATAGACTGATGTGTTGCATTCAACGTCCTCTCGATAATTGGTCTTTAATATTCTTAACCTCAACTTCGAACGTTGCCATTTGTTTAGTTTTTTTTTATTAGACAAGAAAATACTTTATGTAAACAAATAACATAAAATATATTTACAAGGCTAATTTGACGGTTACTCTTTACTTTGAAACCCTCTACGACTCCCATTTGTTCCTCTGCGGTAAATGCTTGAGCTACTGCGTAGGCTTTGCCACAATGAACAGAATAATCTATTGCTTGGCAAAATAGCAAATATCAGACCCTTAATAAAGTTTTGTCCGCAGCAGAAGGACTTTATTCTTAATTTTGAAATGTAATTTCAAAATGAACAGACGTCTTGACTTATTCTTGAAGTTTTGTCCGAGGAGCACCTGAAGGCAACTGTGCTATTAGTTTATTTAGCGATAGCGTTCCAAAATGACGGATCCGACAACGTCTCCAGAAGATCAATGGAAAGTAAGCCACTTTTATAAACCACCTTTTAACTTGATGCATTTTGATTTTTTCTATTTATTTGGACCTCGGTAATGTCTGATAAGTCGTTTTTTTTCTCCTGTTTTGGAGAACTGAAGCATGAGCAGCGGTAGTTGTTGCCTCGCGGCTAATGTGATGTTAGCTTCATCACGTTCAGTGACGTTAGAGCAGATGGCTAGCATGCTAGCAAAGTAAACAAAGACGATTGAAAAGAAAAACAAAATTTTCCGCATCAAATATATGCATTTATGTGGAATATTTTATTCCACATTCAAAAAGAAAGTGATTAAACCAGTTACACTATCATCAGATTATAAAACAAGTGAGATTTACAGCCGAAATTTGTTCTTGTTGTGATACAATAATCTCACACTTAGCCTTTAAAATGTCATCAGATATCCTTATATCCAAGGGCGTAGGAATATGTTTACAATTGGGGGGGACACATGTCGGAAATCTGAGATTCGTAAATATTCAACAGAAACATATCTTAAGTACGCTACTTAAAAAAAGGCTATTTAATCTTTTACTTTATTCCTTTATAAATGTGTTTGCAAAAATAATGCATTTAAAATTAACATAATGCATTTGTTCATAAGATGTGAGCATATCACCAAACAAAATGACTGGAGTCTTTTATTAAGCAAAGGGAGATGTCTTTCAAGGGCTTCAGCCCTTGGCATATTTAGTGTCCGCATACACACTAGAAAATCAAAACAATTCAGTAGGCCACACAAGTGCAAAGTTTGATATGTTTTATTTTGTCAAACTTGCAATAATGGTCAAAAATGAATTTATATAGGTTGACTGACAGAGGGAGCTGACAGTGTGTTGAAGAATTATGGACAGGGCGCTTTGAAGCATCTGGTTCAAAAACGCATTATCAACCTTTGGTAGAAATCCATCCATCCTTCCATTTTCTGTACACCCTGTTCCTTAGTGGGGTCGGGAGGTGCTGGTGCGGGGTCCACCCTAGACAGGTGGCCAGTCTGTCCAGACCTTTGGTAGAAATGGCGCCTTTAATTCCAATTTGCAGTACAGAACAGAGAAAACTACAGAGTTGTCAATGTTGTGTTAATCTGTTTATAGTCTAAAATGAGGAGCCAGCAGTTTATTTGAGGAAATAAAGATGCAGAAGTTAATTAGTTGGTTAATTAGCGGTTGTGCAGCAGTCCACTGCACGACCAATGCGGCCGCCGCTGCTAAGAATTAGAATTAATTCTCCCTGTGGTTAACTAACGATCAGGAGCGCGGCAGGTATAACATCTGTCCATTTCGGCGAATCAAAACCATGCAAAAAATAAAAAATCCTCGTAAAACGCACGCCCAGACCGGGCTAATTTCAACACAAGTTGTGTTAGGTGACTGTTACTCACCCTGACGTTTCTCTTTTAAAAAAATATGAGTAAGTCCTGCTGCTGTTTCAGCCTTTTAGTTGGTGGTGGCATTGTACTGAAATGAGATATAAAAAAATATATATAAAAAAAACATTTTGGCTAGCGTGGCAAACGTCTAGAGAAAGTTAGCAGTTAAATATTGGATGAGTGATCAGCCCAAGACTACAGAAGAGGATTAGGGCCACTGGAAAAAAAAAAAGTTAAGTGATTTTTACATTTTATTTCAGTTTAATACGGGAAAAAGTCAGAATTCTGACTTTTATTTTCAGAATTAAGACTTTTTTTCCCCTCAGAATTCTGACTTTTTTTCTCAGAATTTTGGATCTTAATGTAGATGGGCACCATGAAGGCAGAGATGTGGAACACTCAGCTTCACTGACAAAGATGTGAGTTGTTTGAGAGAGCCAGTGACACATTGGTGGAAAATGACAGAATTAGGCAACTTTTGACGTGCCCGAGGGGTCCCCCCATTAATGGAGGAGCAGAAGGTCATTAAAACAAGAGATCTAGTCTCTAAAAGAGACATGGCTATGGCTTGATGCTAACTTGTTGTTAAACATACTTTTGTTATATTACATTTGTGTTGTGTTTTCCAAATAGTGTAGAAAATTAATGGTGGGTTTATAATGTTTACCTTTTATGAGCAGGACAGGAAGCAGAGAAGTGTAGCATTACCTCCAACTAGTTAAACTCATAATTATGAAGTTATTCAACAAATTCCTCAAGTAAAAAAGTGCAACTTTTATTTTTTATTTTTTTTTACCAGATTTGT